GGGCTTGCGATTTGGCTCTTTGGAGGAAAACTTAAACCGAAAATCTTAGGGACCAGGGCTTGCGATTTGGCTCCTTGGGGGAAACTTGAACCCGAAATTTTGGGGACCAGGGCTTTGGGGGGAAACTTGGGCCGAGCATCTTAGGGACAAGGGCTTGCGATTTGGCTCTTTGGAGGAAAACTTGAATCGAACATCTTAGGGGCCAGGACTTGCGATTTGGCTGTTTGGATGAGAACTTGAACCCAAAATCTTAGGGACCAGGGCTTGCGATTTGGCTCTTTGGAGGAAAACTTGAACCCAAAATCTTAGGGACCAGGGCTTGCGATTTGGCTCTTTGGGGGAGAACTTGGACCCAAAATCTTAGGGACCAGGGCTTGCGATTTGGATCTTTGGGGAAAACTTGGGCCGAAAATCTTAGGGACCAGGGCTTGCGATTTGGCTCTTTGGAGGAACGCTTGGGCCGAAAATCTTAGGGACCAGGGCTTGCGATTTGGCTGTTTGGAGGAAAACTTGGGCCGAAAATCTTAGGGACCAGGGCTTGCGATTTGGCTGTTTGAAGGAACACTTGAACCCAAAATCTTAGGGACCAGGGCTTGCGATTTGGCTGTTTGGATGAAAACTTGAACCAAGAACCCAAAATCTTAGGGACCAGGGCTTGCGATTTGACTGTCTGAAGGAAAACTTGAACCCAAAATCTTAGGGACCAGGGCTTGCGATTTGGCTCTCTGGGGAAAACTTGGGCCGAAAATCTTAGGACCAGGGCTTGCGATTTGGCTCTTTGGAGGAAAACTTGGGCCGAAAATCTTAGGGACCAGGGCTTGCGATTTGGCTCTTTGGAGGAAAACTTGAACCCAAAATCTTAGGGACCAGGGCTTGCGATTTGGCTCTTTGGAGGAAAACTTGGGCCGAAAATCTTAAGGACCAGGGCTTGCGATTTGGCTGTTTGGGGGAAAACTTGAACCCAAAATCTTAGGGACCAGGGCTTGCGATTTGGCTGTTTGGAGGAAAACTTGAACCCAAAATCTTAGGGACCAGGGCTTGCGATTTGGCTTTTTGGGGAAAACTTGGGCCGAAAATCTTAGGGACCAGGGCTTGCGATTTGGCTCTTTGGAGGAAAACTTGGGCCGAAAATCTTAGGGACCAGGGCTTGCGATTTGGCTGTTTGGAGGAAAACTTGAACCCAAAATCTTAGGGACCAGGGCTTGCGATTTGGCTCTTTGGAGGAAAACTTGGGCCGAAAATCTTAGGGACCAGGGCTTGCGATTTGGCTGTTTGGAGGAAAACTTGAACCCAAAATCTTAGGGACCAGGGCTTGCGATTTGGCTCTTTGGAGAAAAACTTGGGCCGAAAATCTTAGGGACCAGGGCTTGCGATTTGGCTCTTTGGAGGAAAACTTGAACCCAAAATCTTAGGGACCAGGGCTTGCGATTTGGCTCTTTGGAGGAAAACTTGAACCCAAAATCTTAGGGACCAGGGCTTGCGATTTGGCTCTTTGGAGGAAAACTTGGGCCGAAAATCTTAGGGACCAGGGCTTGCGATTTGGCTGTTTGGAGGAAAACTTGAACCCAAAATCTTAGGGACCAGGGCTTGCGATTTGGCTCTTTGGAGGAAAACTTGGGCCGAAAATCTTAGGGACCAGGGCTTGCGATTTGGCTGTTTGGAGGAAAACTTGAACCCAAAATCTTAGGGACCAGGGCTTGCGATTTGGCTCTTTGGAGGAAAACTTGAACCCAAAATCTTAGACACCAGGGCTTGCGATTTGGCTCTTTGGAGGAAAACTTGAACCCAAAATCTTAGGGACCAGGGCTTGCAATTTGGCTGTTTGGAGGAAAACTTGAACCCAAAATCTTAGGGACCAGGCCTTGCGATTTAGCGCTTTGGGTGAAAACGTGAACTCAGCATCCCCCCCCTTTCGGATTCAAATTATTTACACTATTTGAATTATTTCTATTTTCCAAATTATCTAAACTATTTAGATTATTTAAAGTATTTAAATTTTGTAAATTATTTACATTATTTAAATTTTTTAAACACTATTGAAATTATTTAAATTATCGAATTCCCGGCCGAATTGAATAATTTACAAAATATGAATCCGAAACCTGCCCGTCATACTTAAATTATGTAACTAATTCAAATCCGAAAAGGGGGAGGGGAGCCCGGGCCTCCCCCTAATACTAAATTACGAGCCCGGGCCTCCCCCCACGAGCCCGCACCTCCCCCCAATACTAAATTACGAGCCCGCGCCTCCCCCCATACCAAATTACGAGCCCGGGCCTCCCCCCAATACTAAATTACGAGCCCGCGCCTCCCCCCAATACTAAACTATCTAACCTCTGGCTGGGGGCGACCCAGAGGGAATTGAAACTTTCTAAACTATCTAAACTATCTAAACTATCTAAACTATCTAACCTCTGTTTTTCCCAAAATAGAGGTTAGATAGTTTAGATAGTTTAGCGGCTCGTCTGAACTATCTAAACTATCTAACCTCCCTTTTTCCCAAATTCGAGCTTAGATAGTTTAGATAGTTTAGATAGTTTAGATAGTTTAGATAGTTTAGATAGTTTAGAAAGTTTAGAAAGTTTCAAACCTCCTGGGGGCCTCCCCGGAAAGAGGTTAGATAGTTTAGATAGTTTAGATAGTTCAGGGGCTTCCTGAACTATCTAAACTATCTAAACTATCTAAACTATCTAACCTCTGGCTGGGGTCGACCCAGAGGGAATTAAAACTTTCTAAACTATCTAAACTATCTAAACTATCTAAACTATCTAAACTATCTAACCTCTGTTTTTCCCAAAACCGAGGTTAGATAGTTTAGATAGTTTAGGGGCCCGTCTAAACTATCTAAACTATCTAACCTCCTTTTTCCCAAAATCGAGGTTAGATAGTTTAGATAGTTTAGATAGTTTAGATAATTTAGAAAGTTTCAAACCTCCTCGGGGCCTCCCCGGAAAGAGGTTAGATAGTTTAGATAGTTTAGATAGTTCAGGGGCTTCCTGAACTATCTAAACTATCTAAACTATCTAACCTCTGGCTGGGGCCGACCCAGAGGGAATTAAAAATTTCTAAACTATCTAAACTATCTAAACTATCTAACCTCTGTTTTTCCCAAAACCGAGGTTAGATAGTTTAGATAGTTTAGGGGCCCGTCTAAACTATCTAAACTATCTAAACTATCTAAACTATCTAAACTATCTAAACTATCTAAACTATCTAACCTCCTTTTCTCCCAAAATCGAGGTTAGATAGTTTAGATAGTTTAGATAGTTTAGAAAGTTTCAAACCTCCTGGGGGCCTCCCTGGAAAGAGGTTAGATAGGTTAGATAGTTTAGATAGTTCAGGGGCTTCCTGAACTATCTAAACTATCTAAACTATCTCACCTCTTTCCGGGGAGGCCCCCGGGAGGTCTGAAACTTTCTAAACTATCTAAACTATCTAAACTATCTAAACTATCTAAACTATCTAACCTCTGTTTCTCCCAAAATCGAGGTTAGATAGTTTAGATAGTTTAGGGGCTCGTCTAAACTATCTAAACTATCTAAACTATCTAAACTATCTAACCTCCTTTTCTCCCAAAATCGAGGTTAGATAGTTTAGATAGTTTAGATAGTTTAGATAGTTTAGATAGTTTAGATAGTTTGGAAAGTTTCAAACCTCCTGGGGGCCTCCCCGGAAAGAGGTTAGATAGTTTAGATAGTTTAGATAGTTCAGGGGCTTCCTGAACTATCTAAACTATCTAAACTATCTAACCTCTTTCCGGGGAGGCCCCCGGGAGGTTTCAAACTTTCTAAACTATCTAAACTATCTAAACTATCTAAACTATCTAACCTCTGTTTCTCCCAAAATCGAGGTTAGATAGTTTAGATGGTTTAGGGGCTCGTCTAAACTATCTAAACTATCTAAACTATCTAAACTATCTAACCTCCTTTTCTCCCAAAATCGAGGTTAGATAGTTTAGATAGTTTAGATAGTTTAGATAGTTTAGAAAGTTTCAAACCTCCTGGGGGCCTCCCCGGAAAGAGGTTAGATAGTTTAGATAGTTTAGATAGTTCAGGGGCTTCCTGAACTATCTAAACTATCTAAACTATCTAACCTCTTTCCGGGGAGGCCCCCGGGAGGTTTGAAACTTTCTAAACTATCTAAACTATCTAAACTATCTAACCTCTGTTTCTCCCAAAATCGAGGTTAGATAGTTTAGATAGTTTAGGGGCTCGTCTAAACTATCTAAACTATCTAAACTATCTAAACTATTTAAACTATTTAACCTCCTTCTCCAAGAAAGGAAAGTAATCACATAGTACCTAAAGGTCCCTCTTACATATATATATATATATGAATATATATACATATATCTGTGTGTGTTTGGTTTTGCACAAAGTAGCAGCAGATTGTTTATCACACTGTCAGCTTTGCCTGCATGCAGGTCCAGGGGGATGGAGGTTGGAGGCTGCCGGATCCTAGGGGATCTAAAGCCTCCCAGACGTAGCCCAGCGACCATAAGGCAACAAGGGTAGCCTTATTGTTGTCGGCTACTTAGGGAACCTAGAACCAAAAAGAAAATGGGCAAAAGGGCACCACTGGGATATCACTTCAAGACCTGGAGACGTTAACCCCAAACTCCTTTTTTCCTTCCACGCCCGCGCCGGTCCCGCGTACATCCCTAGACCCTTCTGACTCCAGGCTTCTGCTCAACCATGGACCAAAAGAGCCCTCCAAACCCCTTAACCAAGGAATTATGCCTTTGATCTACAAAGGGTTGATGAACATGAGTTCAGACGCATCTTCCTGAATTCGAGGGTATTGGGCTCTTTGGGGACCCTGAATCCTGTAGACCCTCAACTCCTAGGCTCGAAAGGGGCATTTCCCAAAATAATTAGGGGTACCCCTTCCACACCCCCAATAGAATCGAATCCCCTTAAAGCCTTAAAGGGAGCCCCGAAAAAGGATACCCCCAATTTCGAAACACCCGAATAGCAAAGAAGGGGTGCGCGCCAAGAAGCGGTAATGCTCTTCCTTCGCATCTGTGAGGGCCCGCAGGCAGCGCCCTCGTCGCTGGCTGAAGGGGCTCAAAAATTGGGATGTTCCCCCTGAAACTCGCACTCCTTCATAGGGACTCACTCACTCACTCACGGCCTTCGAAGAGTCTTCAAGCCGAGCAGGGGGACTTAGCCCCGGCGTGTTGGCCGGTGTTGGGCAGACCAACAGAAGTACCCCTACTCTAATCCCTAGCAAGGACTGTTAGTATGAGGGGGAACATCCCAACTCAAGACCTTCTCAAACCGAAACCCTGAACCTGCTGAGGGTTTCTGGTTTTGGGCTGAAGGTTTTTGAGGTTCGGCTGTCAGCACTGGCCCTGGAAACCTAGTGTCTGACGAAAGATCGAAAGCACCCAAAAGCAAAACACAAAAACCCCCCAACAAACAACAAAAGCCATAAAACCCTGAATCTGACAATCCTAAAACCCCCCAGCCCTAAACCCTTCCTAAACCCTTCCACCAGTTTCAAAGCTGACCATGACAGCGCCGGATGGGTAGGTTGAGGTATTTACAAGTGTTGCCTGGAGACTTTAGGGACGGAAATGTGAAAGCCCCAGTGGGAAAAAACACACATGTTGCAAAACAGACCAACCCAGGGCCATTTTTGCCCAACCCAAAAACACAGACCGAGCTGAAACTTTGTTCATGTCACACATGAAACGCGGCTTGTCGGGGCCTCTTTCCTCCTGGGCCTCCACTCTCTCCTGGATGTCGCGAGAATCCTCCACAGTTGCAAAGTACGTGATAGGGTTTAGGGTTTAGGGTTTAGGGTTTAGGGTTTAGGGTTTGGGGTTTGGGGTTTAGGGTTTAGGGTTTAGGGTTTAGGGTTTAAGGTTTAGGGTTTAGGGTTTAGGGTTTAGGGTTTAGGGTTTAGGGTTTAGGGTTTAGGGTTTAGGGTTTAGGGTTTAGGGTTTGGGGTGAGCCTTCGGGTTGGCGGGCACAGGTACATGTATCACATGACTTTCAACATGACTCGATGCGACCTTGAGGTCTTTAGCTAGTTCACTCTTATGGTCACAGCAGAAAAGCGGCTGCATATCTCACGAAGACATATGCTGAAGCAAGCACGCATCCGCAACGCTGAGGCACACTTACGAGGTAGGGGGGAGAGCGCTGTTCGACACAAGAGTAGCTCAGAGTTAGCCATGCACCAAAGACAACGCACACCATTCATCCTCCAACCCCACTGTCACCTTGACACCGAGGACTCCGAGGAAGCAAGGGGAATTTCGTGCGATCGTAACGGTTTAGGGTTTAGGGTCTAGGGTTTAGGGATGAACATGTTGAACATTTTGCAGTGCCGGGTCCTCCTGCAACACTTCGATCTTCTGTTGCAGGGACCTTGGCGAGGTGCTGAGGAGGCTGTAAAGGGTCTTGGGCGTGCGCGGCCAGACGGAGCAATCATCACTCCATGTTCGCTCGGCGGTTTAGGGTTTAGAGCTTAGAGCTTAGGGTTTCAATAACCCTAAACCCTAAACCCTAAAGCCTAAACCCTAAGCCCGGGTGGCTGTCCTAAGGTCCAAGAACCAAGGGACGACAACATGTCCTCCAGCTTGTCCTCACGCTCGAAGAAGCCTGGTCTCGGCGGTGAGACGACACCGTAAAACAACCCCCTAAACCCTAGCTACCCTAAACCCTAGCTACCCTAAACCCTAAACCCCCAGCCTTGAAGGCCCTTTGGAGATAAAGGAAGCAGGCAGTCTTTCATCAACTTACATGGAACTCTGAACCCCAAACCCTAAACCCCAGACCCCCCCCAAAACCCTAAACCCTTTTCGGCCAGAGGACTCTCTTACGTGCCTCAAGAAGCATGGACTCGTGCCATAGCAAGGGGGGGACCCATCACAGGCCCGCGAAAGCAGCAACAGCATGATCCCTTTCGGGCTTAGCTAGAGCTAGCAAAGGAACACACCACTTGATTGACAAGACTTCAGCTGCGAGCATCGGCAGCAGCACGATGACTTCACCCCACAAGGCCGAAACCAGACCCTCGATAGAAAAGAGCGTCTTAAGCATGATCAACCTCTGCATGAACCCAACGAAGTCACCGGCAACCCGCAAACCCTCAAGCTCCAGCATCATGGGTCCATTCTCCCGATCAAGGCAGCAGAGGCTCGCGCAAGCAGCAGATACACACATTGGTGCCAACGACCCTGAACCCTAAACCCTAAACCCTATTTATAAACCCTAAACCCTAAACCCTAAACCCTAAACCCTAAACCCTACACCTCAACCAACCATGAGAAACGCAGCCCGGTGAACCTGCGGACTCCAGCGGCGGCTCCGCAGCCTCTCCTCGCGCCTCCACATCCCGGAGCCTCCGATGCAGGGGTTTAGGGTTTAGGGTTAGGGTTTAGGGTTTAGGTTTTAGGGTTTAGGGTTTAGGGTTTCAGGTCGAGGGTACTTATAGCTGGCGTAACGGTTGTGCCGGGCCAAGCATCTTTCCGCAAATGGCGAATCTCCAACGCGAGGGTGTCCAAATCGCACAACAAACCACTTTTTGTCGGCCCAAACCCTAAACCCTAAACCCTAAACCCTAAACCCTAAACCCTTTTCGTTTCATGTCGGCGGGGGGGGGATGCCAAAAACCCTAAACCCTAAGCTTGGGATGTTCCCCCTTATACTAGCAGTCCTTTAGAAAGGCTTGTAATACCCGCTAATGATAATCCCTCTTAAGGACTGTTCGAAGAAGGCGGAACCTCTCAACCCTAAACCCTAAACCCTAAGCCCTAAACCCTAAACGCTAAACCCTAAACCCTAAACGCCCAAAGCCCAGCTGCCTCGCAGCCAGCTGAAGGAGCTCCGAGCCCATGGCCTGCCAACATGGGCACTTCCCCAACCTTTTGGGGTTCTAGGGTTTAGGGTTTAGGGTTTAGGGTTTAAGGGTTCTAGGGTTCGAGGGTTCGAGGGTTCGAGGGTTCGAGGGTTTAGGGTTTGGGGTTTCGGGTTTAGGGTTTAGGGTTTAGGGAAGTTTAAGGCTTCCTTGGGAGCCGCCCAAGAAAGCAAGGGGCACCTTTATCCAACAAACACAGCAGAAGCGAATGGACCTGGGATTTTCTGAGTTGTATCATGGGTTCCTCTACTACCCCTCCTAGGTTCCCCCCTTAAAGAACCACAACAACTATCCCTGAATAGAAGGGGGTAGTATGGGATTTCCCCTAACCCTCAACCCTAAACCCTAAACCCTAAACCCGCAACCCTAAACCCTAAACCCTAAACGCCCCTTAAGAACCCTATAATGAGTTGTAGGAAGGCTGCATGCAGCGGTGATTTGGGCAGCTCTGACCTGTTCCGAACGTGCTCAAGCGCCTTGGGACTTGGTCTTGGGAGTTTTCTCTTTTTCTTGGGTTGTGGGGTTGCAGGGTGTAGGGTTTAGGGTTTAGGGTCTGGGGTTTACGGTTTAGGGTGGGGGAAGGGGGAGGGGAGGGGGGGCGTAATGGAGAAGGATGTTAGTTGAGGGGTTTTGGGGTTCTTCTTCTGCTCCCCTACAGTAGCAGGCGTGCTGAGCGACGTGCTGGATGCCCAAGATCAAAATCCTAAGGTCCTGACCTCGAAGCTCGACCTCCAAGACCATACAAGCCCACACACTCCAAACCAACCCAGCTGTTACGAAGAGAACCCAAAGGCCATTCTGCTACAATCTTAAACTCAACCGACACCGCATTTAACCCCTGACCCCTAAACCCTAAACCCTCAACCCAAAACCCTAAACCCTAAACCCTAAACCCTAAACCCTAAACCCTAAACCGATCAGAGTTAGCGCCCTGAACCCTGGGCGCAGGCGCGGCCTCCTCGTGCTGGCAGCAGCGCTCCAGCAGCTCCTCGCGAGTCGAGGGTTTAGGGTTTAGGGTTTAGGGTTTAGGGTTTAGGGTTTAGGGTTTAGGGTTTAGGGTTTAGGGTTTAGGGTTTAGGGTTTAGGGTTTAGGGTTTAGGGTTTAGGGTTTGGGGCTTTTTCGGGCTTGGGGTTTAGGATCTAGGGTTTAGGGCTTAGGGTTTAGAGCTTCGGGTTTGTGGCTGAAGCCAAGGGCTCGGGCACCGATCTTTTTCTCGTGCTACTTGCAGGATTCTGGGCGCTTATAAGCCCAAGTATAAGTCGACTTATAACCTACTTAAAGGACTTCGGAGGCTTTTCAGTGCTATGAGCATTGGGATTATAAGTACCCTGAGCCTCCAAGTACCGTCCTTCTGAATGCTATTCTTGAAGCGACTGTCACTATTCGTACTATTGCAACATGATTGCTAGACGTGTTGTCAAAATTCGGTCTACTTTTATCCAGCAGCTAGCGCGGACCGAATGAACACTTTGTCGTCAGGAGTCTCCAAGTCTTGAACATGCCTTAAACCACATCGGGGTGTCTATGAACTAGTTAGGACTTAAGGTTCCTTGGGATGTTGCCCCCTTATGCTACCAGACCTTTTTTGGGGATGATAGTATCCCCATGAACGTTCCTACTAAGGACTGTTAGTATAAGGGACATCCCAATTCTTTCTTTAAAATAAAGCCTAAACCCCAAAGAGCGGCTTCTCCCTCAACCCTAAACCCTAAACCCTAAACCCTCAACCCTAAACCCTAAACCAACCGCGCGCCTCTACCTGTAGCAGGCGACTGTGGAAGCTCCCGGCATCGCTTGGCCCCCTCACAGGCGACTCCTGAACCTGGCTTTGATTATACCATGGGGTTTAGGGTTTGGGGTTTGGGGTTTGGGGTTTGGGGTTTGGGGTTAGGGTTTAGGGTTTAGGGTTTGGGGTTTGAGGTTTGGGGTTTAGGGTTCTTAAGGGAGGGGGGTTCAAGGGGGGTATGTTTTTTCAGTACTCCCCAGGGCTCAGCCTCCCTGAGGTTCCCTAGGTACCTACCCCCCATGAACCCCCCTCCCCCTAAAGAACCCGATAACTTTTAAGTCAGAACAGGAGTCGACCAAAAAGAGCAATAAAATTGATCTTCTTGCCAAGAGCAACAAGAATCGCAACAGCAACAAGCACAACAAGGACAACGAGGTTACCGAGCGTAGCAACAATAGCAAGAATAACAAGAACGACAACAAAAATGACAAGCATAACAATAATAATAACATTACAAAAACAACAGGAAGAACATTCCTATCCATAGCAACAGGAACAACAAGAACAACAGTAATAACAATGACAACAACACCAAACAACGTCAATAACAAGACTGGCACTTTTAGGGCTTGCACTGCGTGGACTTGCGTGGTGATCTTGTTGAAACCTTCGTTATCTTGGGGCCAGCAGCACCTTGCTGTAGGCATTAATGCTTCCAGGGCTTAGGGTTCGGGTTTAGGATTCAGGGTTTAGGGTTTAGATTTAGGGCCTAGGGCCTTGGAAATGCGATACTGTGCCGTTTGGGGGCGAGTTTAGTCGCAACCTGGCTCTTCAAAGAACCAATGCTGTCATTAACATTTTTATTGCGACTAGTATTATTCTATCATTATTATTATTATTACTATTATTATTCTGCCTGTTAAACGGTCAATCCGCAAACGCCGACGCACCTGCACGCCATGCGTCGGCTCTGATTGCCGCCACTGGGCCTGGATTGGGAGCCGATGTGCTTTTGGGGAGTTTAGGGTATAGGCTTTAGGGCTTGGGGTTTCGGGTTGAGGGTTTAGGGTTTAGGGTTTAGGGTTTAGGGTTTAGGGTTTCAGGGTCTACGGGATGTCGTGGGGCTCAGAAACTCCACGCCTGAACCCTGCAACTTGAATCCCGAACCCCAATCAAAGCATAAGTCTCAACCCTTTCAGGCTTCCGCCCATGCGCCACGGAGGCGAACCCTGAAAGGACCTCCCCCTAAAACAACCACTCACTTGGCAGGCAAGTTGAGGTTTAGGTTCCGGACGCGAACCCTAAAACACAACCCCCCCCCTCCCCCCCCTACCCCCTTTTCAATCAGAGTGGTGAGAATCCCGGTAACCCATCAGCCTGCAAGCCTAATGCCCCTGAGGGCACAAGCACCTGCCTTAAACTATATAGGAACCCACAATGCGACCCAAGGTAGATCCCTGGTCCAAGGGCCAAGCTGCTTACCAAAACACCTCCCCCCTAAACCCTAAACCCTAAACCCTAAACCCTGAACCCTAAACCACTAAACCCTAAACCCCTAAACCCTAAACCCACAAAACACAGGGTGGAGGGTGTCAGGCTTTCCGGGTTGAGTTGAGGGTTTGGGGCCTTTCAGAAATGGGCTCGCCTGAGCCGAAGCCCTAAACTCCCCCTAAACCCTAAACCCTAAACCCTAAACCCCTAAAACATCCCACCTCCAGGTGATCCATTCTCCGTAGCTGCCTGGGCTTCGGGTTTAGGGTGCAAAAGGCGGGGGGGCGTCAGGTGCAGGCCGAACCCCGCAAGCACCACACCCGAACATCCAAAGACTGGAAGGACCCTCAACTTGACGCCCAAAAAACCTGAACCCTTCTTGCAGCAAAGCCGGAACCCTGAACCACAGACAATGAAAGAGAGAGAGAGAGAGCGTCTAGGCCTAAACCCTAAACCCTAAACCCTAAACCCTAAACCCTAAACCCTAAACCCTAAACCCTAAACCCTGGAGCCCAGGCACAGTTGGAGAACCTCGGACATGCCCTTGACAATCTGCGAAAACCTGAGGCAAAGAGCTGTGCCTCCCCCTGAAGTTGCTTTTCGTGTTTCAGGGTTTCAGGGTTTAGGGTTTAGGGTTCAGGGTTTAGGGTTCAGGGTTTAGGGTTCAGGGTTTAGGGTTTAGGGTTTAGGGTTTAGGGTTTCAGGGTTTAGGGTTTAGGGTTCAGGGTTCAGGGTTTAGGGTTTAGGGTTCAGGGTTTAGGGTTTAGGGTTTAGGGTTCAGGGTTTAGGGTTTAGGGTTCAGGGTTTAGGGTTTAGGGTTCAGGGTTTGGGGTTTAGGGTTTAGGGTTTAGGGTTCAGGGTTCAGGGTTTAGGGTTTAGGGTTTGGGGTTTGGGGTTCAGGGTTTCGACAGAGTTTAGGGTTTCTGACTCTCACACTCGCACAGGCAGACAAGGGTTTGTTTGGGTTTAGGGTTGCGGGTTCACTGGGTTCCGAGGACAAGCATGGGGGGGGAGCTGCGCGACCCACTCGAAGTTGAAAAATTCTGCAGATGCACGCAGCGATCAAGCCCCAAACCATGTACATGTCCGAGGGTGCATCTCTGCTTGGGCCCCTGCTCGGCCATGGCGGTGTCCTCCAGCAGGCTGAATAATGGCTCTGTGCAAGGCCAAGACAAACCAGAAAAACGTCCGCATACGAGAAGGGCAACGGCGCGCCGCAACGTTGGCTGTGCATTTGTGTCTTACGACTAGGTCGTGGTTGGGATAGCATTAAAATTCTAAATGTCTCTTCCTTAATGAAACAGGTTACCCCACTACGACAAAGTTACATGCTGCTGCGACAGCAGCACTCGGAGATTGTGACAGGGAGGCCAGACTCGTCAGACCAATTAGGGCTCTGGGGCGCAGCTCCAAGATTTCAGTCTTGCAACGCAAGCCGGACAACGTTCTGCATGCAGACCCTCCACTGACTGACCCCCTAAAACAAGCCGAATGAACTCCTCACCCTAAGCCCCAAACTCTGTTGAACCACTTAAGCCCTAAACCCCAAGCCCTAAACCCTCAACCCTAAGCCCTAAACCCCTCAAACCCTAAACCCCTTAAACCCTAAACCCTAAACCCCTAACCCCTAAACCCCTCAAACCCCTCAAACCCTAAACCCCTCAAACCCTAAACGCCTCAAACCCTAAACCCTAAACCCTAAACCCCTCAAACCCCAAACCCCCCAAAACCCCTGAGACGCTACGGCCTTGGCCAAAGCCACGGCCTTGGCCAAAGTGGCTTCCCTGAGCCGCTCCCCCTGGCAGGTTGCCGAGGTTCGTAGGGTTTAGGGTTTAGGGTTTAGGGTTTAGGGTTTAGGGTTTAGGGTTTAGGGTTTAGGGTTTAGGGTTTAGGGTTTAGGGTTTAGGGTTGGCCGAAGGTATGGGCTATGTGGGCGACGTGCTTTTTCACTGGTTCGCACTAGGGAGTCAAGGAACTATAGGTACCCTGTAGAATGCCTTGAAGGGGAGAGAAGGTGGTACAAAGCAAGGCATCAGGTACAGAATTCCCTAATTCCGCATGAGTAAAGAGGCGGGCACCTTGCCTCCTGCTGCGCCTTCGACAGCTGCGCTGAGAACTTCGACTCCTCGGTGAGATTTCTGTGGGATTTCTGCGGAGCTGACACTGGCACAAGCCACAGATCTCGAGGTAAAATGCGCGCGCAGCTGCTGATGTGCTTCGCTTGCCTAGTGACATTACCACTACTGATGCCACGTCACCTACTCTTACCTCGCAGGCACATAGCCCAAGGCATTCGGACGCTAAGGCTCTGCACAAGGAACCGTCAAAAAAGATTTTGAACTCCGCCCCAAGCCCTGGTAAGTCCAACGCATCCGTTCGTAAACCTCAAGCTCCAAAGCGCACCCAACCCTTTGCGTCGAAGAAGAGCTGGGAAAGAGGACTGCGCAACCCAGCATGCCAGTTTGAAATAAGCACTCGAGAACGCACACCCTTGGCGCCAGAGAGCCAAGTGGGAAAGCCGTCTCAGCACTGCCTCAGATGGACCACGTTCGCGAGCTTCGGAGGCTTGGTTTTGTTTTGGGGTGCGGGCATCCTTCTGGCACAATCCTGCACTTGGGAGGTTCATGGTACTTTATTAGCCAATTGTAACTGTACTTTAGAACTGCACTTATAACACTATTAAGGCACTTGAGGGGCTAATAAATGGGTTCTAAGTACAGTTATACTGGGCGAGCAAGTACCCTGAACCTCCAAGCCAGCCCTCTTGTCAAGTGGCTCAAACGGGCTCAGAGCACGAGTGTCTTTGTGCGTTTTCTGCAGCTTAGCCCTGTGAGGCTCGAAGAACCGTTTGGAGGTCCGTTTAGGTTTATGGTTTAGGGTTTCGACTCAGCAGGCGTGCAGCAAGTTCTTCTTGCAGGTTCTCCCGCCATTCCTCAATTGACGGGTAGTGGGCTTTTCGGGATATTCAGAAGATCACAGGACCTGAACCTTTTGCCTCCTTGCCAGGCGTCGCTTGCAAAGCTAGGTGGAGGCGAGCCGTCCACATCCTTCCACCAAAAACTGGCTTCGCGGGAGTTCGCTCTATTTCGGCTGTCATGGCCCAGAAGAAAGTCGACAAGAAAGCAGGAAGAACACCCTAAACCCTAAACCCTAAAGTCCCCGCTTAGGATTTAGGCTCACATACCCAATCGCAACCCTAAAGGCTCAGAGAGTGCTGAATCCCTAGGGTTTAGGGTTTAGGGTTTAGGGTTTAGGGTTTAGGGTTTAGGGTTTAGGGTTTAGGGTTTAGGGTTTAGGGTCCCGAATGCCGGTGAGAGTGGCCAGGCGCTGTAGTTCGTACGCACTGCTTGGGGGTTCATGGTACCCTGGTAACCCAATTCTAACTGCACTTACAACCCAATGAAAACCCCACTAGGGTAGTATAAGGGGCTTACAAGTGGCTTATAACCACACGTATAATTGGGGTTCTAAGTGCCCCTGAACCTCCCAGTGTGGCTTGGAAACATGAGGGCACCTGCTGGGAGGGCAGGAAAGGCGAGGACGTCGCACTCTCCATGGTGGGTTGCCAGCAAGGTCTTTGGCTGGCAGCCACCGTATCTTGCAAGAAGCCCTGACAGACTTCGCTCTCTCTGAAACCTACCAAGCTCTGCTGCTCCAAACCTAGGTGCCGAAGCATGTGAACTCCCACTTCAGCCGGCGTGGGCCCCGCTTCCCGACTCAGATTCTCAACTGTGGCCTTGGGCCTTCATAAGCTGCCTGGTTCCGAACCCTGTTTTTGCTCCTGCAGCGCATGCGGCTATGAGTATGAGAGCCAAAAGCAACTGTCCGAGAACGGCTGGGCAGGGTGGGAGACACAGCCGAGCACGTAGCCCGACAACACTCGCTCAAGCCCGATGCCGACAAAGCTGGTGGACGAAAGCAAATCCCAGGCACATGGGGGTTTCCGAAAATAGGGGTACCCGTTTGGGGGGTCCCTTTGAGAGGATTCTGTTCCATTTGGGGTATAAAAGGGGTACCCCTATCTTGGGAAATACGCACAGCGCAACTCGGCTCCTTTTTCGCGCATGCGCTGCGGGAGACATATTCTCACCGAGACGGTTTCTCGAGACTGCTCCTAGGATGTGCTCTCGCCTCCATGTGCGGCAGGTTCCTAATGAAGGTTCGTTCTTAGTAGGGAATGAGGGAATGCAGGGCCCTATATCATCCCTTAAAGGGCATAGAAAGGGCTCTGACCAAGAACCAGGGGGTTGGGGCACTCCTGAGGTCCTGTGATAACACGGAGAATCACTAGGGTTTAGGGTTTAGGGTTTAGGGTTTAGGGTTGAGGGTTTAGGGTTTAGGGTTTAGGGTTTTGGGTACTTGCAACCGTGACATAGAGAACTGCTCAGTGGCTCGGGGTCTGACTGGGCTGGGCAGGTCTGCGGCCGCCCGTCTACACATCAAACGGCTGGTTTGTAGGTTGGAGCACGGTCTAGGGTTTAGGGTTCAGGGTTTAGGGTTTAGGGTGTAGGGTGTAGGGTTGAGGGTTTAGGGTTTACATTGTTGCTTCAGCCAAAGCAAATCCTTTCAGTCAGAAGTAGGGACACAGGTCGCCGCCCGGGGTAGAAGAACCCATGGTCTCAGTGCATGAACCTTTCTGAGGCTTGGGGGTTAAGGGAGCTTTAGGGCTTCGGGTGTTCAGGGAGTTTAGGGTTTAGGGTTTCGGGTTTAGGGTTTAGGGTTTAGGGTTTAGGGTTTAGGGTTTAGGGTTCAGGGTTCAGGGTTTGGGGTTTCGGGTTTAGGGAGTTTAGGGTGTAGGAGCTTTGGGGCTCATTTCTCAGGGAGGGGGCTGTGTCCCTTTGGCACCACATGAGGCCATCCCGGGCCTGTGCGGTTCGAGGATTGCAAAGCCTGGGGGGTGTAGGGCTTAGGGTTTAAGGTTTAGGGTTTAGGGTTTAGGGTTTAGGGTTTAGGGTTTAGGTTTAGGGTTTAGAGCTACAGCAGCACAAGCCCGATGTTTCGCGGCTCAATCTTGGGGCACTTCCAGTTGTAGAGGTAGTATTGCCTTGGCACACCAGGAATGCGACTGAAGGACTGCCAGGACCCCGTAATCCAGGAGTTCTCGGTACATCACATAAAGAAGTAGTGCAGAAGCGTCTGTCGGAGAAGGTAGTTCGAGCACACCATGACGTGAAAACTTTACATCGCGATTACCAGCTCAACCAGTCTTTAGCCCTCAACCCCTTTAAACCAGTCTGTAGCCGAAATCCTCAACTCCCCAAACCTGGCATTGGGTCGGGAGGCAAATACCCGTCGCCAATGCCGAACTTCAGATCCTGGGCCAATTCGTCTCGTGCTTGGGGCATCGGCGAGTGCGACAGCAAAGCAAAATGGCTCTCGAAGTCGCACTCTCATGAAATTGGTGATGCTTGGCAGCAGGGCCATTCTCAGCATCCAGTTGAAACACTGCGCCTGTCTTACCTGCTACCTGCAGCTCTCTGCAAGTTATGCCTCTGACGCTGCGCACTGCTGCAGCTGCTAAAAAAAGCAGCGCAGTCCTTCAAGAAGGACTCGTTCTCCATGATGTCCAAGGCATTGAAGACATCAAAGCCCTTGGCACAGCAGCATCGACTTGCAGCCAGTCTGTAGGTCTAATGTAGGGTGCCTTAATGACTAGAATAGGCTTTTTGGGGGGAGAGTTGAGTACAGTGGTAAAGGGACGCTTTAATCATTAGACTAGGTTTTTGGAGGATATTCATGAGCGAATACTCTTTGTAATTGTGCTCACATATATCGGGTTGCTGTGCGGGGGGTGCTTCGTCTTCACTGAGGCCCGCGCCTGCTGCTTGGCAACACTGAGCGCGTCAAGCATCAGATCCTTGCGCGGGGGGGAATAGGACTGTCACAAGCAGAGGGAAAGCACCCCCAACATCACCTCCAAAAGCCTGCAAAATCGCCGGCTTAGCGGCAAGACCTTGCAGAGACTCCATAGCCTAGGCAATGCATACTGAAAGCATAAGCCTACACCAGCAACCGAAACATCCCTGAACCTCATCAATTTGCCAGCGGCTGCGCAAAACATGTGACACGCACCAGGCCCGAAAGAACTCCTGAAGCGGCACCGTCGTAGCCACATTCCAGTAGGAGTAGGCGGCTCTCAGCAAGTTATGCTTCGGATGGCCTGGGGCCATGCGCATGAAGGCTGGCTCTAGGACGTTTATTCCTGCAGCCTTTCTAGGGTTTAGGGTTTAAGGTTTAGGGTTAGGGTTTAGGGGTTAGGGGTTTAGGGTTTAGGGTTTAGGGTGTAGGGCTTCGGGTTTAGGAATTAGGGTTTCGGGTTTGAGGTTTAGGGTTTCGGGTTTAGGGTTTAGGGTTTAGGGTCCCCAGCAACATCTCAGGTCACTGCCCAGAATGGAAGATGGCAGGCTGTAGAAGGAAAACACATCGGTGACCTCGCCCTTTTCATTCTCGCCTCGGCGTGGGGGTCCCGTGAGTTTCGTCGCTCACGCTCTCACACCTACTATTTGCTCAAGAACCCCCAAGAAATGAAAGACATATGCTAATCCCTCTACTGCCCTAAGAAGGCAGAACATTTATGTTTTTGGGTGTTCTTCTTCAGCAAGTAGTAGTTCAAAAAACTAATATATAACCCCTTTCCCCCAAAAGAGAGAGACTCGTCTTTTTGTCTTTTTTCTTGGGGGGGGGGGGAGGTGGCTCTTAATTAAGCAATTACATTAGTAGATAAGGACTATATAGCACAACTCGTACTTTTTGGGAGTGGCTCTTAAGCAAATACTAGACGCGCAAGCACAGCCGCGGTGGGCATCCCAGTTAGACGTCAAAATCATGTGAAGGATCCCTTCATGTACTTTCGTGTGTATTCCGTAACTAGGGGGATAGAGAGGGCCTTCACATAACTTACAGTACAGGCTGATTCCTTCATGGGGCTCGATCGGCCCGAACGCTGAAGAAACCAAACCCTAAACCCTAAACTCCTTTTAAACCTCTTTCAGACTCAGCGGTTCAAATGCGACTGTAGTCAGCAGAGGTAGAGGGACTCGCCACTGTGTTTATAGCTATGAAGCTGACTTGTTCCTAAGTCCCTGGCGAACCCAGCATGACACTACACCTTCTTTCGGCAGCATCCAATGCTCGACCTGGCACAGGGGTTTTTTGCTGTCGAGCTTTGAGGTTCAGGAAGTCCCACAGCGCACAAATACTGGCTTCGTGCTATCAAACACCAAGCCCAAAGAAGTCTGCACCCTAACCATGTAACCCTCAAGGCCTTCTACAAAATCAGGACACAAGCTCCAGATCGCGTCCAGTACTAGGAGTTCAGGGTACGTATAACCCAATTATAAGGTGGAGCATAACCCACTGATAAGCCCCTCAACTACCCGAATTCGGGGTTATCCCTGGGTTATAAGTACAACTTGAGATCGGGGCCACGAAAGCTAGAAACGCGGCTGACAAGCAAGCTTTTTTCGAGTCAGGCAGGAGAAGTGCGGGCGCAGCAACAACGCTGCAAACTCTGAACTGTAAGCAAAACGAAACATGCTGGGACACGCAGCGGTCGCACTAAGAGCTGTCGGAAGCTGCGGATTCGAATGCTCATCCCGGGGCCTTACAGCTCGACAGCAGGGCCTGACCAAGACGGAGGGGAAGCCTGAAAAGGAGGGGGGGGGGGGGGGGGACACCTTTCGATTGGTTTTGTCAATCCTATAAGGGGGGGGAGGGCGGGGAGGGGGGGGCCCCCCCCCCCTCCACAGCCCTTTATCTCTTTGATTTTCATACCGCTTAAGGGTCGGAGTCGCTAACACGAGAGAGAATTCTTGTAAACGACAACTCTCGCGAGCTCCAAGGAGCTAGCTTTCGTGATGATCATTGGGTTACTACGTACCATGAACCTTCCAAGTATCCGACTTCACCTCCCGCACCCGCTCCCTGCGCGCCTCTTCGGGAGTAAACTCCGGATGCAAAGAGAACTTCCTTGGGGCCCAAAGAGCCCTCAAAAGCCCTACATGAGGAACATGCCTCAAATTATATTATTACGAGGCCCCCCCTAGACCCCTTACATAAGGAAGATGCCTTGAATCCTATGGGGATCCTTATAATGTGATTCTAGGGTCTCTTCCTTACATAAGGGGGTATAGAGAACTTCCTTGGGAGCCTGCGGGCACCCCGTTGCATGCTGACGGTCTGCACTGCGACAAAGCGATCTGAAGATCCCGCAAGACACACCGGCAATCATGTGAGGCCGCACAGACACCTCGCTTTTGGGATCTGCAGAGGTGCCCCGGCCCCAAATTTGAAACGTGAAAAAATCCATGACAAGACCATGGTAGAAGCAGCATTCCGCAACTTAAAGGGGCCCGCTCTCCTATTCTACGCCTCTCTTTCTGGGGCGCCAAGGATCTGCAGGTAGTTCGAGACGAGCCCGTGGACTCGAGGCACGTCCTCCTTCCGCATCTCGCGCATCCCCGCCAGCTGGGGCGTGTCGGGCACCTCGTTGACACGACAGAGGGTTTAGGGTTTAGGGTTTAGGGTTCAGGGTTTAGGGTTAGGGTTTAGGGTTTAGGGTAAGTTTAGGGTTTAGGGTTTAGGGTTTAGGGCACTTCTGAAGAGAGAATGGAGCTCAAGTCTAGGGTTGGAGGAAGGGCGTGCCACTTGCAACCCGAAAACCCTCAATTCAAGGATATTTCAGCACTCTCTTGTGGGGTCTCGCGTGGTTCCGGGTTCCAAGCCCAAGAAACTCTTGAGCAGCAAAGGCCCCAAGATGGATTTGTGGCTCGACCCCACGGATTGAGCTGCGGATTGCTGATGGAGCCTCTGTGGCAGATCCTACTTGGAGGTTCATTGTACTTATTAACCAATTATCACTGTACTTGCAACTGTACTTAAAACCATATTAGGGCGCTTAACGGGCTCATAAGTGGGTTGTATGTTATATGTACAATTATGATTGGTCAATAAGTGCCACGAACCCCTCCAAGTAAACCCTAAACCCTAAACCCTAAGCAGCTAAACAGCTAAACAGCTAAACAGCTAAACAGCTAAACAGCCCACCTTGTAGAGCTTGATGGTCCGGGCCATGGTCATGCGCTGGCCCAAGTGGGAGAAGCCCACTTCGATCAGCTTCTTGGGGTTCAGCGAGCGGTGCCAATAGCCTCGGCACAGACAAGTGGCCCCTAAAAAACGACTTCGACTTAAGGTCTGTCTATTGCCTTCGCTTACGGGCATTGGGCTGTTTTGGGCGTAGGGCGGGAGAAGAGTTCCGCCATCGCCTCCACCCGGAACCCTCAGACCCTAAACCCTAAACCCTAAAACCCTAAACACACACCAGCCGGGGTGCGGCACTCAGCGACGGGTCTGGGAAGCACGACCCCGGCGGTGTAGACGGCCTTCGGGTTTAGGGTTTAGGGTTTAGGGTTTAGGGTTTAGGGTTTAGGGTTTAGGGTTTAGGGTTTAGGGTTTAGGGTGTTTATAGGGTTCTTAAGGGAGGAGGGGGTTCACGGGGGCTACTTGGAGGTTCAGGATACGTATAGCCCAATTATAACTGTGCTTCTAACCCACTTATAAGCCCCTTGGGTTATACCATGAACCTCCTAGTAGGTATCTATGGAACCTTAGGGAAGCTTAGGGAGCCTTAGGGAGTAGTAGGGAGTATGAAGGGACCTTCAGTTACTAACCCCCGTTGGGCCCCCCCCCCCCTTCTCTCAAGAACCCCCGATAACTTGGGATGTTCCCACTTATACTAACAGTCCCTAATAGGGATTCTAGCACCCCTACTCTTATCCCTAGTAAGGACTGTTCGTATAAGGGAGAACATCCTACTTCATACCCCTTAACTAAGGAATATACCGCTATTGTTATATTATCATCGTGTGCCCGTGGATGAACGAAGTGAACAAAGTGAACGAAATAAAAGACAAGGAGAAATGAATGAAATGAGTGCACGACGCGTGCTTTTATTGCGTGAACTTGTGAACGAATAAAGGCCCGGGCAAAATGGCAGTTTTTATAAGCGCCCGGGAAATTACTATACTATTATCACGTAGAGAACGAGATGAATTGACTTACAAGGATACCTTAAATGATATAGGAACATACCTTAAGCTGCATGGGGATCCTTATAAAGTGGGGGGGGGGGGTTCGGAGGTGGGGGGGGGGGGGATCCCTCCCTCAAGCCGCCTGCCAGACATTCTCCCGGTTCACACGCCGGGTGATCTCCTCGGGGGAGCAACGCCAAGCAACCCACCCCCCCACACAAGAGCCCCCAAGAAAGTGAGCCTCAACACGGGGCAAAGGAAAGAGGAATCCTAAACTCCAATCCCCAAACCCTGAACCCTAAACCCCAAACCCCAAACCCCAAACCCCAAACCCTAAACCCCAACATCCGGGGATCGGGGATGCTTGAAACAGCTCACGTGACTCCTCCGAGCCCACTGGGAAAGGAAGAGCAAGTAAAGCCCCAAAAGCCCTTGATCTCAAAAGCCCCTGAACCCCACCAACTTGAGGAATGCCACGTTCATGTTCGAGTCGTTCTTTACTGCTTGGGTAAAAGCTCTGTCCTAAGCCTTTCGGACATCTGGGGCCTCAGAAACTGGGATCCAGTTAAAGTGCAATTCGCTCCTTGATGAGGACCGGAGCCAGACGTTTCGACCGAAGCTTCTTGTGGACGCAAAGGAAGTTGATCTCTACCATTTGGATGGACTTGTCATAAACCTGCCGGGGTGGAAAAGCAGTGCTGCGGCCTCTACATGCCTTGATGTCTGTCTTGCACGGGTGCTTTGCGCGGTGCCCTCTGCCCAGTACCCCGACCCGCATCTTTGCTGGGATGCCGGTGATGAAGCCAACAAGCCTCAGAACAAAGCAGACTTTGTCACTCGGCGAAGTGCTGGCACCACGACCCATCAGCTTCCTTTCTGGCACCAAGGTGAGCCATCCTATAGGACATATGGGCATTTCCCAAACTAGGGGCACCCCTTTGATACCCCAAATAGAATCGACTCCCCTTAAAGGGACCCCGAACAAGAGTGCCCCCATGTTCAGAAACCCCCATATGGGACATAGAAATATGCCTGGCAGCTTGCCGCCGCCCTTGACCCGCACCCCAAGGTGCCAGTTCCTGCCGGCAACTCAAACAGACGGCTGAGTAGCAACCCTTTGGCAGCAGGCTTGCAGAAGGTCCTCGCCTAGCAACCCTAAACCCTAAACCCTAAACCCTAAACCCTAAACCCTAAACCCTAAACCGCAACAGCTGACATTCAGGAGGAGTTCATTGGGCAGCGGATCTTGAGGATCTGGGGGTTAGCGATCGGGAGGGGCTCTCTACTAGGGTTCTCAAGGGAGTGCGGGGAAAGGTACCCAAGGCCCTTAGGGTTACTTCTCCTAGCCATAAGACCCTAACAACAAAGCCTGAAGCTCCAAAGACCCCAAGTATACTGGCTCAGGTTTAGGGTTTAGGGTTCAGGGTTTAAGGCTTAGAGTTTAGAGTTTAGCACAGTGGCTCCCTAACAAGAACTGTCTATAGTCCAGCCGTCCTCAAATATTCTGGAGGCTTCAATGCCCACCGCAGAAACTGGACGGAGTAGTCGAACCGAAACATGCTGTCCTTAATTGCGCCCAATCCCGTACAACCCCCCCTCCTCCAGCCCAGAAGGCGCTGGGTCAAAGACGTGAACCCTGCACCCTAAACTTCGGGTTGAGGGTTTGGGGTTTAGGGTTTAGGGTTTAGGGTTTAGGGTTCCCAAAACCCGAGCCTGATAGAGATGGAACATGAGGCTCTCGAATGGAGCACAGAGGGGGATCCAGGCTGCACTGTGGGATTGTCAGGCAGACTTAGCGCTCCGAACAGTGCTGACGACCCTGCAGTAGCTACTGGGTGAACCTCAAACAAGCCTGGTGCCAATTGCCCAGGGTCCTAGGGTTGTGTTCCGTGCGGTAAAAACAAGTTTCGGGCTCAAGCTCCATCCTTTCAACGTCGTGTGGTCAGCTCCCTGGGAATTACCCGAGTTCCTTTTGCAATACGGCCCCCCGGTCATGCTTAGGGTGCCACTTACGTAACGTTTAAACCGGGGCTCATCGTCTTCGACATAGTTCTCCGTCAGGAGGGTGTAGACTTCCTGCATCTCGGCATCGTCATCGACATTGCCTCAGGAATCCCCACTCGTCCTCCTAATCCCAAACCCTCAAACCCTAAAACCTGCACCCTAAACCCCACACCCTAAACCCTAACCCCAATCCCTGAACCCTTCGGTTGGGTCGTCGGGCTATTAGGTTTTCGGAGCTTCTTTAGGGTTTTTAGGGTCGTTGTTCAACATTGTCGATGGTCCAAGGGTCCGGGAAGATGTCTTACAATCAGCGGCCCTAACCAACCCAAAGGACCTTCTAATCGCTACCGGCAGGCCCGCCAAACCCAAGACTTGTCCAGTCCAAAAACCTCCAACCCGCAACCCTACTTGGAGGTTCAGGGCACTTCTAACCCAATTATGACTTATAACCCACTTATGAGCCCCTTAAGTGCCCGAACATGGTTGTAACTGAAGCCTGAAGCTCGGACTTTAGTTAAGGCACTTGGGGTCTTGCAAGACTAACCCCGTCCCGAACGCCCCCCCCCCCCACCCCCACTCCTCCCCAAATATGACACGTTTTCCTGAATAAGGCCATAACACAATCGCGTGGCAATATTCAAATTTGGAGGGCAGGGCCCGGGAGGGGAGCTTCTGATATTCGGAGGCGGGCAGTCGTGCCAGGACTTACCCTAAACCCTAAACCCTAAACCCTAAACCCTAAACCCTAAACCCTAAACCCTAAACCCTAAACCTTCTCTTTTCGAAAAAACTCGGCCTTCACTGTGCTGAGTAGCAGGTGCACCACTCAAACTGCCCAGGCAAAGGATAGGGCTCCTGGGCAGGACCGGACAGTCTTTCAGGGTTTTCAGGGCTTCGAGGCCTTGGCAGATCAAAGAGGCACTCAAGGGTTGAGGGTTTAGGGTTTAGGGTTTAGGGTTGAGGGTATAGGGTTTAGGGTTTAGGGTTCAGTGACATGACCCTGTGCAGTTGCCAAACAGGAGCTGGCCGAACATCGTCCACAGTCTTCAGGTCATCCAGAGGTCCGGCATCCTGGCCATACCTGTCCGAAAGGTTAGGGTTTAGGGTTTAGGGTTCAGGGTTTAGGGTTTAGGGTTTAGGGCGTAGGGTTGAAGGTGTAGGGTTTAGGGTGTAGGGTGTAGGGTTTAGGGTTTAGGGTGAGAATGCTCTTGACGGAGATGGCTTCGGGCGACGCGATCCCAGCTTGCGCGCGCCTACCCCCTTGTATGGTGGCCGGAAAATTCATAGCACCAGGGCGGATGAGCGACAATTGACCAGGCATTTTCTCCAAAAACACGGCCCTCAACCATGCCTGCCACAAACGCCAAAGCCCACTTTTAAACCACGGACACAAGAAACCTCAAGAAAGACAATAAACAATTATACCAAAAATATGATTCCATTTGTTGATGATACATTTGCAACACTGTATGGGTAGTTCTCCAAATTAGGGTCCCTTTTAGGATCCTCATGATAAGGATGCCGCCTGATATAGGGGATTTTTGCGTCCCTTGTTTAGAGAAACTACCCGGATGGGTGGTTTTACGCAGACATGGGCGTTAAGGACCCCAAAATAACACTCCTCTTTTCGGAAATAACCCTAAACCCTAGACCCTAAACCCTACACCCTACACCCTAAACCCTAAACCCTAAAACCCTAAACCCTAAACCTTAACCCTAAACTCTAAACCCTAAGCCCCAAGCCCTAAGCCCTAAACCCTAAGCTAAGACAGATCTGAAAGGGCACTCGGAGCTCATGGACGGAACAGGCTGCGTGTCCCAGAAAGGATGCTCCCGCGCCGTGTGGCGGCGGGACTCCTCTCGAAGTTGTTCTCTTGGTTCTTAGTAGGGAATGAGGGAATGAGGGCCCTGATATACCCTTTAAGGGATTATATAGGGTACCTCATTCCCTCAGTCCCTACGAAGAACCAGCCAGTTGAGGGGGGAAGAGGCGTAGGCTCAAGGGCTCGTTTACGGGGTTTTAGGGTTTTAGGGTTTTGGGTTTTGGGTTTAGGGTTTAGGGTTTAGGGTTTATAGCGTTTAGGGTTTAGGAGGGTGAGGGCTTAGGGCCCCCGCACCTTGAGACTTAGGATTGTGGGGGGCTTCCCTTCTTTCAAGAGTTTCAACCCTAAACTCTCAAGGGTTAAGGGAGCTTTTTCTTCTTCTTTCACGTCGAGTGCTTAGATCCACTCAGGTATGGCTTGGGGGCTTGAGGGTTTGAAGGAGGGCGGGCTTTGTGGGGGTCGAGGCTTTGGGGCTATGAAGGCCCACCTGCGTCCGTTATCGACTTCCATCCTGGGTTCCAATAACATGCTTCTTGTGAACTGGAACCGTAGCACAAAGTCTGTGACCTCTTTGCGTTGAGTTCAACCGCTTCGTCAGTCGAAGTTGTACACTAGATTGTGCTTCGGCGGGCTATTACAGTATCATGACAAAGGGCACCACAAGGGAATATTTTTGGTAATTTTTCCGACCCCTATAGTATGGTCAAGGCTGCGTCGAAACCTCAGAGCACATCCTTGACCCTCGCAGCGCATGCACTATAGTGCGTATCAGGGCCATTGCCAAGCACAAGCACAGGCTCTAAACCTTAGAGTAGCTTACATCTTGAGATCTATACAAACGCACATACATTGCTGTCACGGTCTCTGGGTGCAGCCCTGCACCCTCAACCCAAACCCCCTAAACCCCTAAACACCGAAGCCTGAACCCCAAACCCTTTTTTTGCCAGAGAGTCCAACCCTAAACCCCAAACCCTAAACCCCAACCCCTTTGTATCCAGGTCTCTACGCTAAACCCCTAAACCCCTATAAACTCTAAACCCTGAACCCTAAACCCCAAACCCTTTTGCAACTGGGAAACCCTAAACTAAACCCTAAACCCTAAACCCTAGACCCTAAACCCTAAACCCTAAACCCTAAACCTTAAACCCTAAACCCTAAACCCTAAACCCTAAACCCTAAACCCTAAACCCTAAACCCAGCCCCCCCCCCCCCAGGAAAAGAGGCGGCGGGTTCCTCGCAGGGCCCTCGCTTCCGCAGCATTTGCAGGAGCTGAGTCTGGGAGTCGATCTGGGACTCCGGCTCCTACGGGGTTGAGGGTTTAGGGTTTAGGGTTTAGGGTTTAGGGTTTAGGGTTTAGGGTTTAGGGTTTAGGGTTTAGGGTTTTTCGCTCCCGCATAAGGTTTAGGGTTTAGGGTTTAGGGTTTAGGGTTTAGGGGTTAGGGTTTAGGGTACTCACTGACAATTTCATGGTACTTACACCCCAGTTATAGCTGTACTTCCCGCTTTTCAGCCCCTTAAGCGCCAACATGGTTAGAGCTAGGTTACAAGTACAGTTATACTTGGTTACTATAGCTAAGTACCATGAACCTCCCAGTAGGGCTTGGGTTTTAAGGGAATCGGCTCTCGCACTCGCGGCTGGGGGGGGCGGCTGGGGGGGGGGCTGGCGGTGGGGGGGGGGGGGCTGGTCCGGCCTCTCAACAAACACTTCATACAACTCTGATCGAGCTGGCCCAAACCTCTCAATGGCCTCCCACCTCCCGGAAGGGGCACATTTTGCCCAACTGGTTTAGGGGTTTAAGGGTTTAAGGGTTTCGGCTCAAGGATTTCTGCTTTAAGGACTTAGGGTTTCGGAATAGGGAAGCAAGGAATCGTGAGCCTTCGTCGCACGCGAGGGCGGAGCATGCAACATCTCATGCACAACCACATGCAGTGCTGGTGCAAGAAAGTGCTTCAAACCAGATCCCTTCTCCAGCTGAATCTTACTTCGGCTTCTCCTCGCCATCGTTTGCGTCGGCGCTCGGGTAGCCATCCTTCTTCCCGGCTTTCTTCCTCGGGCATGATTAATCATGATGTCTCTTTCATGCGCTTCTTCATAAGTCCCCAAAAAAAGTAATACCCCTGAACTAAGGAATATCCCTTACACGATAAAGGGATCCTTAAATGATTTACTAAATATTCCTTATTTACAGGGTACAAAGGACCCTTTGGGTCTTCAAGCTTGGGCAAAAGGCGGTCCCTCAGCATACTTAGCCCTATAATTATAGAGGATGGCTGCCCAACAAGCAGAATCTCTCTTTGTTCTATGTGAACACTGCAGGACAACAGAAAGGCCCTGGCCAGATCTACGTTGGGACAGGAAGCCCCCTACCCAGACAATCAAACCTAGGCCCACGCTTACCAGGCTAAACCCCAAACCCTAAACCCTAAGCGCCTTTTGGCGGCTTCCTGCTGCTAACCTTGAAAACACTTTGCCAAGGGTCTTCTTCGTCTTCTCGTCCCCGGCATCCTGCATCACAGTGTGCGCATCTTCATCTTCAGTCTACAGGGCCCCTGTCCCATGGTTCATGGTTTGGGGTGCAGGTCCTCTTCGTTGGCAGTCTAGGCTTGTTCAGGGCTTGTGCAGCAGGCACTGTGAGGCAAAGCAAAGCTGACCCTGTCGCCCTCCGCTTTGGCCTCCTCCTCCTCGTCTGGCTCCTGTTCGCAGCAGCGTGCTAGGAGTCTGTAGCAGACTCGCAAACTAGAGCCTGATACCAGGCAGCAAGGAAATGTCCGAAGGCGAGCATGGGAATCCCTTGAACCGCCTGACACGGCACCACAGACTCACCATACCAAAGCAAACGAAATGCCTGCTGGGAAGGCTTGCGTCCTACGCACCCAGGAGTTGTGTGAGAAGCTTCAGAAGTGTTGCGCTGGTCTGTTCTGTGGTAGAAGTTGCGCCGGCATGCAGCGATGCATTGCAAAGGATGCGAACACAATGCTTCCTGGCTCTCGCTCTTCTCGTTTTCAGCCATGGCTTTGAGCTGGCTGCAGAGAAAAGACTGGCAACTTGAGCGAAACGATGGTCTGGGCTGGCATGGGGGTCGTGGGGTGGAGCTGATGAAAACAGCTTGCTCACATCCAGCCTCCCGTCTGGCAAGCGTGTGCTGATGCCATGCTTGAAACGTAGAGCTGAAGCGGAACTGGCAATTGTTGATGTAAGCAGACCACTTGGCCGCAAGTACTCCAAAAAGACAATCCGAGCTTTCCCTGCTCTGAACCAGAAGACACAATGATGGACGACCCGCTTGGCGCACAGCCCTCACGAGACGAATGCTTCTGCCTTCTTTTCTCTCTTGCTTGCTGATGTTCCTCCATGCGTCCAAGAGTTGCGACGCCTGTGCTGTGTACATACACAGGCTGATTCGGCGATCAACACGCTCCCCGCGACAGGCTTCTTCTTTGGGGAGGTGCTCATACATGAAACCGACCACATTCCCAGAGGAGAGCTCAATACCCCTTAATTAAGGCAGATACCTTAAATTTTACAAGGATCCTTATTATGACCTAAGAATCTTGCCTAGCTAAGGGGTACAAAGGGCTCTTTGGGTCCTTCCAGCAGCCCCTGCGTGCAATGGCCACTTCAGCCAAGCGATGCATGCTCTAGCGATGTGGCATGGGGCCATTGCTTGGGGCACATGCTGAGTAGCTTGGGATGTTCCCCCTTGTACTAAGAGTCCTTAGTAGGGATTATAGTACCTCCAATTATTATCCCTATTAAGGAATGTTAGCATAAGGGGGAACATCCGACATTGAGTAGCACAGGAATAAGAGCTCATGCGACAAGCTGCAGCTCTTGCTTCGTGCAACACCAGGCAAACAGAAAACATGATCCAACTTCGCACGACAAGCAAAACAATCAAAAAGCACTTGCAAAATGAGACTAAACTTTCTTTACTCATCGGTCACTTCATTCGTCTGGCGATGTGAGACGCCTCTCTCACCAAGCTGCACTATAGCAGGACCAAGCCCATGTTGCCCGGGTCTATCTTTGGGCACTTCCAGTTGTAGAGGTAGTACTGCCTCAGCCAAATCCAGAACAAGGGGTTCACTTTGCGGGAAGAATGCTCTCGCCTCTTGTCAAACCCACAGCCGCATGTACGGAGGGCCTGCATTGCTGTGCATAGAGAGAGAGACATATGTATATATATATATATATATGTACATATGCATATGTGTGTCTCTCTCTCTCTCTCTCTCTATCTCTTTCTCTCTCTTTCTCGAGTTGAACGCCATACCTTGTATGCCGATAAACACAAAGCACACAACCCGCAACCTTGAATCGCTCAGAGTGGGGAGGTTGCGCAGTGCTAATACCCCACAATTAAGAAAGACACCTTAAACATATAGGGGTCCCTAAAACGATTTAAGGCGCATGTCCTTCATGAAGGGGTTCTTGGGCATTGAACTGTTGGAACATGGCCACAAGTACAAACCGTACTGTGAACGGATAGGCCCCCATGAAACCCCCCCAAGCACAGGTCTCCAGCACTTGCATGCAAGACACAGGTAGCCATCCCCGATGCCGAATTTGAGCTCCTACTTACAGCTGTCTTCAGGGTTTCAGAGGCTCCGGATTTCGGTTTTAGGCTCTTCGGGGATGTTCAAGGTTGCTAGGCTTAAGGCCAGGCAGTGGCAGAAGAAGGAAAAGGGTGTGAGGTCGAACGTCGGACAATAGAGTGCGTCTCCTTGCGCGGCGATGCTGGGGCGTGGTGGGCATGGTTAGTGCTGGGTGCATGGCGAGTGCGAGGTTGCATGTGTGGTGGACGACTGAAGGTTGGCGAGGGGCGAGCGACAGTTGGCAGATCATCGAATCGTTGGAGTTATCATGCTGCTCCGGTAAAGCACGACAAGCATCTTGCAACCTGCTTTCTCAGTCCACCCTCAACCCTGAACCCCCTAAGCCCTAAACCCTAAACCCTAGACCCCTTGTCTAACCCGGTCTCAGCTCTGGGGGAAGAACGTACCCAAAGAGCCCCATACCCCTTTAACTTAAGGAACATACCTGAATGACATTAAGGTCCCCCTCAGAATCGAAGGCATCTTGCTTAATTGAGGGGTGTAATGGGCTCTTTGGGTAAAGAAAGCGGGGGGATGCCGGCGGGTCCTTGAGAAAGCTTTCGTTCTCCATGACGTCCAGCGCATTGAACACGTCGAAGTCCTGAAAAAGTCGCTAGGGAGACCCAGCTGCGGATGCGACTCGCTCTCTCACTCTCTCACTCTCGCACTCTCTCACTCTCTCTCTCTCTCTCTCTCTCTCTCTCTCTGTCCTTCTCTCTCTCTCTCTCTCTCTCTCTGTCCTTCTCTCTCTGTCCTTCTCTCTCTGTCCTTCTCTCTCTCTGTCCTTCTCTCTCTCTCTCTCTCTCTCCCTCCCTGCCGTTGCATGCAGAGGGTTTAGGGTTTAGGGTTGAACCCCATTCTTGATAAAAGCCCATTTCTGAGAGGAGGTTGCCTGTTGCTTTGCCAGAATCAGGGCATCGTACATCAAATCCTCGCGCAGCCAGGACACCACATTTCTGCACGACTTGGTGGTCTGAAAGAAACATTAAGCTCCGGCACACCCCGACCGATCCGACAGTCGTACGCAGCAAACAGCTCATTCTGCATGCTACTTCAGCTCTACTTGGAAGCTCTTTTTTGACTTAGTAAGTAGGGCAAGGTGGGTTATGGGGATTACAAGGGGTTTTCTAGGGGATGCTAAGTCAAAAAGAGCCAAGTACTGAAGCACTGAGATGCTCCCCCAGCCAACTCGGGACTCCCGCGGAGACCTCCCCCCTTGCCCATGCATTCGGTTTAGGGTTTAGGGTTTAGGGTTTAGGGTTTAGGGTTTAGGGTTTAGGGTTTAGGGTTTAGGGTTTAGGGTTTAGGGTTTAGGGTTTAGGGTTTAGGGTTTAGGGTTTAGGGTTTAGGGCCTGCAAGGGGACCGTCGTCGCCACGTTCCAGTAGGAGTAGGCCGCCTTGAGGACGGTATGCTTCTCGTGGCCTGGAAAAATCCTAAACCCTAAACCCTAAACCCTAAACACGCCCTGGGGAAGGATTCGCATTGATCCACAGCACCAGGCCTAGGATGGACGATGGCAAGTTGTAGAAGGAGCAGACGTCCGTGACTTCGCCCTTCTCGTTCTCACCTTGGCGTGAGCAGGGTTTAGGGTTTAGGGTTTTAGGGTTTAGGGTTTAGGGTTTAGGGTTTAGGGTTTAGGGTTTAGGGTTTAGGGTTTAGGGTTTTAGGGTTTTAGGGTTTAGGGTTTAGGGTTTAGGGTTCAGGGTTGCAGTGAGATCCTTTGCGCGAGGTCGAGCGTGTGCACCGAGCTCCCCACGGACATAGCAGTAGACCACACCCAGCCGCGGCAGCATCCAGTGTTCCACCTGAAAACCAGGCCACAGCCTGATTTTATGGGGAGCTTTTCCGGGTTTAGGGTTTAGGGTTAGGGTTTAGTGTTTAGTGTTTAGGGTTTAGGGTTTAGGGTTTAGGGTTTAGGGTTTAGGGTTTCGGGTTCCGGGTTTCGGGTTCAGGGTTTAGGGTTTAGGGCAGGCAACATATCTGCCATCCATTCTGTGCAAGTCCTAAGAGACTTAGAATTTGGGTTAGTTAGCACCCATGAACCTCCAAGTAGGGGGGTCTTGGGCTCCTCGGGGCTCGACAGCTGCAGGCCTCCGCAGGCGAAAGCTCGGGATGCAGCTGGAACTTCCTCAGAGGGCCCCTCTATACTCCTTAATTAAGGAATATACCTTAAATTCTAAAGGGATCCTTGGTGTCATTTAGGGAATATTCCTTAATTAAGGGGTATTGGGCTCTTTGGGTCCTTGGGGCAAAAGCGCGGGTTCTGGGGCTTCTTTAAAGGGGGTTTACGATAGGAGGGGTCCCTTTTGGGGTCCTTGCTATAAGGGAACCCTTCTATTTGGGGGTTTATATAGCAAAAGCTGTGTTCTGGGCAGTTATTCTTGGAGGTTCATGGTCAATTATGACTGTACGTATAACCTGTACTTTTCACCATATTCGGGGCACTGAAGGGGCTTCCAAGTGGGTTTGAAGTACAGTCATGATTGGGCAAGAAGTATCATGAACCTCCAAGTTTTGGGGTGGGGGGGGGGGGGGGGGGGTTGACGATTTTAGGGGTACCTTTTTGGATTCTAAGGGAGTCCTTCTGTTTGGCGGTTTAAATTTGGGATCCCCTAGTTTCGTAAACTCCCAATGGGGGGGGGGGGGGGAATCTGTTTATGACCAAAGAAGTATACTAAGAAGTATCCTAAGAAGTATACTCCCTGCAGTCTGGGGCTGGCGGGTGGTTGAGCTTTTTTAAGAAAGTGGAAGCAGATTCTTGGTCGCTCTAGGATACCAAGAGGTGCCCGTTGCCCGGAAGTCGGCATGGCTCCAACCTTTCGGGAATCCCCGAACCCAAATCAGGCCCCTTGCCCATACCCTAAACCACTAAGCCTAATCTCATACCCTCACTTGGAGGTTCATGAAAGGTACTTGTAAGTAGGCAAGTAGGTAGGGTACTTCTAACCCCTCTTCTACTTACCCATGAACCTTGATTGATTGATTGATTGACTGCCTGTGGGCGCGAACGCCCATGAACCTTCAAGCAATCTTGACACAACCCCACCGGCGGGTGCTTGCTTCCTGCAGCCCTTGAACTCCACAAAACATCGCCTCCCAGGTGCTGTTAGCTTGACAGATCCCATCCTCTTCCTTGGCCCTACCTTACGGACCTCCATGAAGTTTGTTGAAACACGCTGACTTCCCGAGATTCTGTACAAAGTGCTTCAGCTACCCTGACTCGGATAAGGTATCCCGCTGGGACCACGTGCCCTCTTTGCAACACGGGCAGTGGGACATGCTTTCCAAGCAAACGGCCCGCAACATATTCAGAACCACAGCCCCTTCCTGCCGGAGCTCTTCAGGTAGTTGGAGACCAGGCCATGGACCCGCGGCACGTCCTCCTTCTTCATCTCCCGCATGCCGGAGAGCTGGGGACTTTCCGGCACCTCCAGCTTACCAGTTGCATCTTGGGATGTTCCCCCCCTTATGCTAACAGTCCTTCATAGGGATTATAATCATGCAGGGGTACTATACTCGCTATTAAGGACTGTTAGTATAAGAGGGAACATCCCAGGTTATGCAATGTGGTGCAGAAGTGCACCCTGCCATGGCTGTCACCCATCCCCATCCCATGCACCTTGTACAGCTTGATGGTGCGGGCCATCGTCATGCGAGCACCGAGGTGAGAGAATCCTACCTCGATGAGCTTCTTCGGGTTCAAGGAACGGTGGTGGTATCCTTGGCCACAATGACAGTGCACAAAGTAAAACTCTGCGCTGGGGTGTGGGGTGGGGCCCAAACCCGGAAACCCAGCAGCTCTGAGAACACTCTATCCAATCCGCTTGTGGTCTCGCCCCTCCCAGTAGCACCCAAAGGGCCCTTTATACCCCTTAAATAAGGAATAGACCTCAAGTCATAAGCAGGAAGGCCGTGCGTGCTCACGTACACCGGCTTCGCATGCTGTTGCGCCAGTGGTGCGGCCCGCGCTTTTGCCCCAGGCGCGGTCACTGCGGCTCACTGGCACGAACGGTGACTTAAGTGCTGATCCAAGAGTCGGCACTCGCTGACAGGTCTGGGCAAGACCACCCCGGCTGTGTAAACCTGGCTTGTTCAAGAAACTTAACATCAAGTTCCCAACTCCCGTACTACATGGGTTGTGCTTAAGAAACTTTAATTGACTTCCCAGGTTCCATAGAGATAGTAAGTAGCTTGGTTTCCTCATGGTGCAGACCAGACACAGCTTGCCACACGTTCTCACGATTCACGCGGCGAGTGATCTCCTGGCAGAGGCCACAGCAAACGCTGCAAAAGGGCCTCTTTTTCAACCCAGATCTTACCCCTTCGCGCGCCTTGATGAGGACGGGAGCCAATCTTTTGGAGCGCAACTTCTTGTGAACGCACAGGAAGTTGATTTCAGCCATCTGGACCACTTTGTCGAAGACCTGCTCGCCCGCATGCTCTGCCGACTGCCGAAGTGACAAGCTTGCAACACCTCACCAATCGTCCTGTAGACCGGCACACCAACACAAGACTGCTTGCAAGTCCAAAACCCGGCTGGCAACTCACTGAGCTCATTGAGGGGAAAAGGGAGGGACCGCTATGTAGGCCTTATGTAGTCCCTATATACCTAAGTAGCCCCACAATAGCCCCCCAAATAACCCCTAAGGTCCCTTATCAGGGTCCCCTTAGTCCCTTGAACTGATCAAGGCCGGGGAGGACATACCATAAACCCGCACAGCCTGCCTGGATGTTCGCGGGGATCCCGGTAATGAAGCCAACAAGCCTGGAGCACATGGGGGGTTTCCCAAGTCAGGGGTGCCTTATTGGGAAGGGAATCCTACTATTTGGGATCTGCATTAGGGGTCCCTGGACGATCTGCCCTTATCTACGTTTGTGTGCCATTCAAATCAAAGTCGCTTGCCACCACCTTTGACACGAACGCCCAAGTGCCAATTCCTGCAACACGGGGGCATTGCCGAATGGCATTGCCTGCGTAGGGGAGCACAGGGTTGTCTACGAAACCCTGACCGCTCTCTCAAGGTTCTTGACGATATGCAAGACGGACCGTGTGCCTGCCGACGGAAGCCATCATTAGAAACGGCATATCTGCATGTGTATATATATATATATATATGAATATGTACCACCTTCTATATATGTTGTATGCAATGTGCTACATGGGTTCTGCGTCACCTCCACATATCAAAATTATAGTTGCACAGCTTGTGCATGGCGGCACCCCCCCGGATCGTGTCCTCAAGTACTCTGGTGGCTTCAGCGCCCATCGCAAAAACTCCGTGGAGTAGTCAAAGCGAAACATGCTGTCCTCAGAAGCTGCAAACCGCACAGACATTCGTCCCAAGGCAACCGTCCACAATCAAACCATCACAGGCGCGTCGTCTTCGACGTAGTTCTCCGTCAAAAGCGTGTACACCTCTAGGATCTCCGTGTCCGAATCCACATCACCTCTCGCTTCGCAGAGGGCCCAATACCCCACAATCAAGGAACATACCCTTAAAATTATGATGGGGATCCTTAGTGCGATGCAAGGTAGAGGGCTTTCTGGGTTCCTTTTGTGCTCAAAGATGCAAGGAAAGAAGGGGCACAATCTGCGACGAGCACCAGTGGAACTGAGCCGTGGTTGGGGCGGAAGCTCTTTATCCACTATTGCTTAAGAACCCCCAAAAAGCCGACAAGGAAGAGTATGTTTCATTTTGGGGCGGGTTCTTAAGCAAATAGTCGTCATTAAGGACTACCTTTGCTTCGAGAGCACCATGATCACATGACTGAAAACAACCGTGACGCTGCAAGGAATGGACATCGATTGCCTAAGGGCAGACGCGTCGCATGTGCACCACTCAAACTGGGCCGGTAGAGGATAAGGATCCTCAGGTCCCAGCTCATCTGGCTCTAAAGCGGGGCGTCTGCATGTGACAAAAGGGTTTTTTTGCATCTGCAGGTGCACATGGATGGGATCCACAAAGCAAAGCGATCCTTTCTACGTGATCTCATGCCAGAGCTGAGAACAGAAGAAGACTCAACCCTAAACCCTAAACCCTAAATGCAGTCCAAAGGGCTGCACGCACATCATCCGGGGTCTTCACGACATCGAGTGGTCCAGTATCCTGGTCGTACCTCGCGTCCGTCTTTGTCGGATCTGTCTCCACGGGACTGCCCTTCTGATTTCTGGGAAGGAACTTCAATGAAGTGAACATAAACAGGGCTTCTTGCTCATGCACACATACATGATCCCATCAGATGTTCCAAATATTCACACATCTTTGACAGCACCCGAAGTCAAACAGACTGGATACTATGTCATACTTGCTGCAGGACCATACAGCCTTCAAGTCGCATCTACAGTGGCAGCTCCTCGACACGAGGGAGGAACTGAAGAAAGAAACCATGCTGGAGCAAGCGACTTCATGAACGCACGAACCACAACTACAGGCAACTAGAACGATACCACTAGTTACACCGAAACTGCAAAGGGTTGGCATGGGATGGGGCTCGAGGGGCAAAGCAGCGGTTCTGCTTCCAGGGCACTCGGCACTCATGGACGGAACAGGCTGGGTATCCCAGAACGCATGTTCGCGCGCCGAATGGCGACGTGACTCCTCCCAAAACGCTTGCGGAGGAAAAGGGGCTGGCTTCAGCAGTTCGCGGCTACGAAGAAAATCCTCCAAGAAACTGGAAGCTTCGAACTTAAGGCTGAGAGGCAAAAAGTGCTCTTGCAATGTTCACTGAAAATGTGCTATGTGCAGCCCTACAACATCCCTACGGCTCAAAGCAGATGCTACCTTCCAAAATCAACACGGCATGCCTTATTACAAAAGGCTCTCACTCATGCCGCACCTTCCTTCACATCAGTGTAACCCTAAACCCTAAACCCTAAACCCTAAACCCTAGGCTGCCTTAAGGCCTCTGTTTGGTCTTGGGTAAGCTCGAACACAATTGAACGAGTGAATGGTGCACTCAACTTGGCACTTGTGCCCAAAGCTGAGGGTTTTGCAGCCTCCGGCACAGAGTTTGGTCAACAACTCCCCAGAAAATTAAGGCGGGGCCCGTCGAAAAGCCCTAGGCTCTGCGCCAGCATTTCTTTGGGCGGCTTTGAGGAGTTCACAAGACCGCGTGGCTAGAACGAACGCCCCAAAGGCAGAGGGAACAACCCGAAACCCTTTGCAACTGGGACTTGGTGACAACCCGAAACCCTAAACCCTAAACCCTAAACCCTAAACCCTAAACCCTAAACCCTAAACCCCAAACCCCAAACCCCAAACCCTAAACCCCAAACCCGGGGCCTCACAAGGACCCCGCTTCCGGAGCATCTGCAAGAGCTGGGTCTGGGAGTCGGTGGACGGCTCCGGCTCCTCTCACTTTCTTACACCCCAGATACTCCTTAACCCAAAGAGTCCAATACCCCTTAATTAAGGAATATACCTTAAACCACAAAAGGGCTCCTGAATATGATTTGAGGAATATTCTTAATGAAGGGGAATTGGGGCCTTTGGGTATGAAGGAGCATACCCTAAACTTACAAAGGGATCCCGAATATGGACATGTTTTTTTGGGTAGCTTCTAGAAGTAGCTTCCTTCGAATTCAGGTGCCGAAAATATGTGTGTTCATGGCAGATGCTGGTGTTTACTGTACTTGGTCATGTCTATGCTGTATGAGCTTATGGTCGCCCCCCTCCTCCCCGTGTAATAAAAAAAACGAAAAAAGGCCCAGAACTGCTTCAGCCCATGGGGTTCAAGTCAGCGCAACGGAAGTGGTAAACACGCCTGCGAGATGCAATGCAATTGCATCCATGCATACGGTATGCAGTATCCAAGCGACGCAAAGCAGTGCGCTGTGCGGTCAAAAGGGTAGACCTGGAAGGATTGCATTTTCTGTGTGTTTATTGTTCCTTCGAATTAGGTGCCTAGATTCTCTGTGTGTGTGTGTGTCTGTGTGTAGACACATGTATATCGAGATATATATATATATATATATCAGGACATCTTTACACCTTAGCGAGTCGTCCGATGAATCTCAAGGATTGCTGGGGGGGAGTTCACAACCTCAAGAGATTGGAGGCCTCGCCGTCGTTTGCCTCTGCGCTCGGGTAGCCGCCCTCTTTTTTGACGCCCTTTTTCCTTGCATACCCAGAGCTTCCAATATCCCTTAATTAAGGAATATACCTTAAATCATATTAGGGATCCTACTATATTTTATGGTATATTCTTTAATTAAGGGATATTGGAGTCTTTGGGTATCAGGTGAAGGGAGCCTAGAACCGAAAGCACGGAACTACATCGATCCACCACTCTTGTGATGAGCTCCATAGCTGAGGCAAAGTTTTAAAGCTGCTGGGGCTATGGTCAACTCAGCCATCATGAAGCTCGAGAATCCGAATTCAAGAGTCAACTCTGAACTCTCAACTGGCGAGCGTGCCCTCGCAAAAGGGCAGCAGACAAGGTGCTGGTCAGGGAAGGTACGGGTATGGCAAAGCCAACGCCAAGCTTCCAGTTGTCTTCGGGCTACGGGATCCCTCGTCCACTGAGTTAAACAGGGGCAGAACGATCCGAAAATTGCGCCAAGCGACCTTGTTCTCAACCCGTCTGCCCTACAGAAGCCTCCCCAACCTGCTGTGAAGAGACAGCTCACCACGCCAAGGCTCTTCTTCTTCTTCTTTCCATCCCCCGCCTTGTCCGAGAAAGTGGATTGAGAGGCTTAGAAGTACGAGCCTCCCTTATTTAGGGTTTAGGGCTTTGGGTTTAGGGCTTTGGGTTTAGGGTTTAGGGTTTAGGGTTTAGGGTTTAGGGTTTAGGGTTTAGGGTTTAGGGTTTAGGGTTTAGGGTTTAGGGTTTAGGGTTTAGGGCTTTCAAGAGAGCTCCAAAATAGCACCCCACCAGTAAAGCGCACTCCAAGACCACGCCCAAGGCCGCCAGGACCATTCCAAGAAAGGCGCCCACAAAATAGGGTTCAAGGGGCCAAAAGCGACCAAGCAGGGTTTGTTTTTGAGAAGGTTTTACGAGGGCTTTGACAAGAATAGGGTTTAATAGGGTGTTTAAAAGGTTTTGACAAGGTTTAATTGGAAAGTTTTAATAGGTTTTTACTAGGGAGCTACTAGGGTTTTAGCAGCTGGCAGGCGAGCAGGTGTTTTAATGAGGTTTACTGGGCTTTTTTGGATTCTTATCGGTGTTGATAGGGTGTTGCCAGGTATTTCATACCCTAAACCCTAAACCCTAAACCCTACACCCTAAACCCTACACCCTAAACCCTAAACCCTACACCCTACACCCTTTTGGCAGCCGGACTGAGGGCGTTGCCGGAAAACACATAAACCCTAAACCGTAAACCCTAAACCCTTTGAACCCCTGGGCTGAGGCCGGGAACCCTAAACCCTAAACCCTAAACCCTAAACCCTAAACCCTAAACCCTAAACCCTAAACCCTAAACCCTAAACCCTAACCTTATTTGTAGTACGGTTTCATGGCTTTGAACTTCCCTGCAAGGAGGCACACGAGGCGGGAAAAGCAGTGGGGAACGCCTCGACACCACGCAGAGGAACTCTAGAACGGCCGCAGAAGCCTTGATTGGGTGTTAGTGTTTAGTTTTTAGGATTTAGGGCCTTTAGGGTTTAGGGTTTAGGGTTTTGGGTTTGTAGGGTTTAGGGTTCAGGGTACGCGAGTTCCACGCGCAAGCCAGCGCACCTAGGCGAGGGCCGTGCAAGCCACCTCAACCTAGTCCTCCGCACCCACAACACCCATCGTGCCGCCAGAACTGCTGGGAAGATGTTGTGTCCTTCTGCACTCCTGCACTACTCAAACCCATGGAAAAACCGTGGATCTAGGGGGTGGTTCCGATTTCTGCGCCACTCCGAGCCTCGTTGTTGCCTCCTTCGCCTTCCACTTCGGCCTCCTCCTCCTCCTCAACCTCGGGCTCCTGGTGTCGAGGATGCTTTTTGGGTTTGGGTTGAAACTCAACGTAGAAGCCCATTGTCCCCCAAACTCTCGCCACCGGCCGTGGACTGTTGGGGGGGGGGGGGCATCCTGTCTCTCCGGGCTTCAAGGTCTTGAGGCTGGCTAACGTGACATGGTCACTTCTCTATACTTGGGGTATTGGGACCAGAACAATAAGAGACGCTGACTACAGGAGCACACTCAAGTGCCCGTGTCCTTGCTCGCGCTCTTCCCACTTTCAGCCATGGCTTGGAGCGGAGTCAGAGACAGAGGTGAGGCGTGCGGTTGCTGGCTCGAAGGTCAGATACCATGAACCCTATAAGTTAGGGTCACATACCCTATGCTACGACAATTTGTCTTGAGGTATATGAACCATAAGACCCTTTTAGGGCTCATTTGGTCCCCAGGGCATTGCAGGGACCTCTCATGCCCCAAAAGGGACATCAGTTGGTCCAGAAAGTCCCATCCTTTGCAGACAATGCTTGAGACACCCAGGACACAATGGACACAATAGGCACTTGTTTCGACCGCCCCCACACGTCTAAACCCTAAACCCTGAACCCTCAACCCTAACCCCTCCCCTCAACCCTAAACCCTAAACCCTAAACCCTAAACCCTCAACCCTCAACCCTCAACCCTAAACCCTAAACCATAGGAATTATGGGAGTTCAGCCCGAGGCTTGTTGGGACTGAGGGCCGGTCGCTCTCATGAGAGGTAGCATGGCCCGCGTCATCCGGTCCGATTTGAGGGTTTCGAAGAGGAACACTGCAGGGTTTAGGGTTTAGGGTTGAGGGTTTAGGGTTTAGGGTTTAGGGTTTAGGGTTTAGGGTTTAGGGTTTAGGGTCTAGGGTCTAGGGTTTAGGGTTTAGGGTTTAGGGTTTAGGGTTAGGACTAAGAATGGGTCATGAGGTCTCCCCTTAACCCTACTTAAGATCTCAGGCTCCTCCTTACTGCCATGCACGAGTCCAAAAGATTCACGCACTGCACAACGCAGAGGCCGACTCAGCGGCCGACACGCTCCCCCCGCAAGCAGGGATCAACCCAAAGACTCCAATATCCCTTAATTAAAGAATATACCTTAAGTTATAGTAGGATCCCTAATATGATTTAAGGTATATTCCTTAATTAGGGGATGTTGGAGTCTCTGGGAAGTGAAGAAACAGCTTGCTCATTTGCCAAGCTATAGTGGGGCGCTGCTCTCACCATGCCGCTTTAGAGCAGCACTAAGCCCATATTGCCCGGATCGATCTTCGGGCATTTCCAGTTGTAGAGATAGTACTGCCTCGGCCAGGAAGGACCAAGACAACCTATCAGAATCGGGCTTCACGGATCTTGGGGAACTGAATGGGTGAGGGTCGTGGGGGATTTAGGGCGTTACCGTCCCGGTTCCACATATCAGGCCATGTGTATTCAAGACACAAGTAGCCATCACCGATGCCGAATTTGAGCTCCTGTAGGCTGCGAGCGACTCCTCACCTAACTATCAAACTCTCCGGTTGCTTCTGTCAGCACAGGGGCATTCTATACCGCTGTTCGTAATTACCCGTCTCAAGCTTGAAGAGTTAGAACGCGAAGTGGACTTGACTTTCCCAATCCATGGTCGTAGCTGCGAATCACGGCCCTGGGAGGATCCAACAGGCAGATCCCCTCAAGGGTTCCTAAGAATGGAACAATAGTAGTGTAGGGTCATCTTTGGGGGGGCTCTACTTTCTGGATCCTCCCAGGGGTTCTGGGATCGGAGCCGATTGCTCAAGCGGCGGTCTTAAGGTTTAGGGTTTCGGGTTTCGGGTTTAGGGCTTAGGGCTTCGGGTTTTATTTCCCACCCGACTAGCCTTCGGGTTTAGGGTTTAGGGTTTAGGGTTTAGGGGGTAGGGTTTAGGGTTTAGGGTTTCGGGTTTAGGGACCCACTGGCTCCGCAATAGTCGTTGCCCTAAACCTCCTCAAAGAGCCCTTTATGCCTTAATCAAGCAATACACCTTAAATCATCATCCGAGTCCCCTTTTTAAGGTATATTCTTTATTCAAAGGGTCTTCGGCTCTCTGGGCCTGTGTAAGGGAACTCGGGCAACAGTTTTCTCAGGCGTCCCCAGTGCCACGGTCGCTCCCCGTTTTTCTCAGGGCTCGGCCGTGCATTTGCAGACGCAAATTAGGCACCCAAAGAGCCCTTTATCCCCCTTAATTAAGATATATATATATATATATATTCCTCAAATCATATTATAAGGAATGAATATATATATATATATACCTTAAATCATATTAAGGATCCCTTTATCATGTAAGTGTTCGTCCTTAATTAAGGATTATGGGGCTGGGCACAAGGTCCTTGAGGAAGCTCTCATTTTCCATGACGTCCAAGGCATTGAACACATCAAAGTCCTTCAAAGATTTGTCGAACCGGGGGGCTGGAAAAGATGGGCTTCGGAAAGCTGTTCCAATTCCTCGACCCGCCGTTTCGGTTTAGAGTTTAGGGTTTAGGGTTTAGGGTTTAGGGTTTAGGGTTTAGGGTTTAGGGTTTAGGGTTTAGGGTTTAGGGTTTAGGGTTTAGGGTTTAGGGTTTAGGGTTTTTTCCCACCCGTGTCGCAAGCGTTTACGGGGAAAAGGTCCGGTGCTACAATGGCCAAAGTTCAGGCGGTTCAGATTGCAGACTGCTTCGAGCGGGCCTCAGGGTAGCCTCGACACCAACTATAGGGGGTTTATGTGCTAGTACATAGGTTATTTTCCCAGTTGCACTAGTATGTATGCAGAAACAACGTAGGTATCATCAACCATCAAACCAAGCTGACCAGAACGAAAGGGTAAGCCAGGTTCTAAAGCTCCCCCAACGCCCCTCCCTCCAGAGATATGCAGCGTCCCTGCCTCTTTGTTGGCCATACCTACGAAGGGTTTAGGGTTTATGGTTTAGGGTCTAGGTTTTAGGGTTTCCCTTCTGCACCCTGAACCGAGACCGACACCAGGAAGAATTCAAGAGCCGACTCCAACGCCTGCTGCTTGGCCAAGATCAAAGCATCATACATCAGGTCCTCGCGCAGAGGGGCAGCCCGCCCAAAGATGCTGAAACACTCTGCTTTTATTATACATTAGGTCGTTCACCAGTGCAAAACAACAACATATTCCTGCGGCTTTTCACAGCGTACACTGCACCTGTCGCCACACGTAAGGCAAGTTCAAAAGATGGTCCACTGACTCGAGCCTACTACGATGCAAGCCTGCGGCTACATGCAGATGATGAAGCCGCTCTCTCCTGCAAGGGCACAGTAGTGGCCACGTTCCAGTAGGAGTAAGCCGCCTTGAGGACGGTGTGCTTCTCGTGCCCTGGCGTGGAAAATTTTGGGGCGCAGCCGAGGAGAACTAACTCGCCCAGAAGTTGTGATGACACATTCGGTGAGCGGACAAGAGCTCAAGCAAAACTACGATAAGCTCACTGAAGGAAGGTATAGGACAATATGCAGGGACCATGTAACTACCCTTAGAGTTAAGCTGAGGGGAGTTTCATGGGCCCTTAATAGGGTCCCTAACCTCCTTGAAAAGGTTCTGATGTGTGGGCCCTTAATTTGTGTAGGGTCTATAAGGGTTGCATAAGGGGTACCCTTTTAAGGGCCCATACTACAGGACCATGTACCTCCCTTAGAGTTACAAGAACCCGAGATCGCGGGCCTAGGATGGACGACGGCAGGTTGTAGAAGGAACACACGTCCGTCACCTCGCCCTTCCCATTCTCGCCTTTGCCAGCGGCTGAGACCCTAAACCCTAAACCCCGAACCCTACACCCCAAACCCCTAAACTCTGAACCCGACATCAGGACATCAGGGTGTTTTTTTGCCACCCGTCTCGCCGCCACTCCTCGAGGCATACTTTGTTCAGGGTTTAAAAGCCTCGAGCACTCCCAGCTTCTTTTTCTTCCTAGTGCAAGCAAGTTTGCGCTTGCCCAAAAACCTTGGGTTTTTTGGGCAACTTCAAGCTAGAGCAGCTAGGTAACATCACGAGGCCACATAAGAAGCGGCTCTTTGCGAGGGATTGGGACGACCCTCAACGACTCAACGCGGACGCCCGGTCATTGAGCCACCCACGGACATAGCAGTAGACGACGCCAGGCCGCGGCAGCATCCAGTGTTCCACCTGTAGGACACACAAGGGCTTCGATCTTCTCAGGGTTGGAGTTTGGGGGTAGGCTAAAACAACACTTTTTGAAAGCGTCTCTTTTAGAGTATGCATGAAGATAATATTTCTAGCATCCTCTTGGGTTTGTAAATAAAGAAAAAATTCCCCAGGGGGGATATAGCAGTAGGGAATGAGGGACTGAGGGCCGTACATCATCCCTAAAAGGGTATATATAGGGCCCTCCCTCATTCCCTACTAAGAACCAGCCAGTGGTCTTGCTTACTTCGCAGCAACAAGACATAACAGCTATTCTGGAGCGATGCTCCAGCGGAGCCTCTTGAACCCTGACAAACTCATAAGACAGCTTTATGAAAATGTTCTGAACATGGTATGAAAAGTTGTTGAAAAGTCGCATTCAAGCTTTATGACAACGTTACGAAATTTGTGACGGTTTCTCAACCAGGCTGCAGCGCAGTGTCGGTACACTTCTTGACGGCTTGGGGCGGAGCGTATGCTTTAGGATGGAAAGCTACGTCCAGTCTGATCTGCTGCAGGCCCGGTCTAAGTCCAAAGCCTCCACAAACGAATCGACACCTCGCATCTCAAACCCCGAACGGCTAAATGCCACTATCTCCAAACTCTCGCCGTGCCTCCGCAGGAGAAAAGTCTGGATGCAGGTGGAACTTCCTTGGCCCAAAAGAGGGGGGGCTTCGGTGTTCAAATACCTCCGGAACGCCCGTGTATTTCGACTCTCACAGCGCACGCGCGGGCAAGGCTCCAGAGGCCTCAATCGTGGTTGAGAGTTTAGGTGGGGTCAAGCTTCTTATGTGACAGCTGTGCCAAAGTTCACTTCGCTGCAACAACCCAATGGCCTCAAGACCGCATCCCAATCAGTGGAGACAACTGAAAGTAATCGTGGAAGTTGAGTATGTTCGTGGCACTTGCAGGTGAGCCAGTGCTGAGATGTCGAACTGTTCATCTCACAACAGCATGTCGGAGTCGTAGGGTTTCGGGTGCTCTTATAAGCCTGTGTGCCACGCCCTCTCCCTCTCTCAACCAGGAGCTGCGGCTGAATTATAACCATGTTAGGGCACTGAAGGAGCTCTTGAGTGGGTTATAAGTACAGTTATTTTACTGGGTCATAAATACCATCCTCCAAGTAGGGGGTTGCGGCTCAAGCTCTTCAGGTAGTTGGAGACCAGACCATGCACGCGCGGCACGTCCTCCTTCTTCATCTCCCGCATGCCGGAGAGCTGCGGGCTTTCCGGCACCTGCCCAGAGGGTCCAGCCCAACCCCCCTTAGTTAAGGCATATACCTTAAATCACATGAAGGATCCCTATATTGGGTTACTTCCCAAAAATAGGTTGTATCCCCTTCGGAAACCCCCTATATGAACGAAGGTATTAAGCGTTCCCCAGAGAGCCCAATAATCAATAATTTAGGAATATGCCCTAAATTATGAAGGGATCCTCTAAAAAGATCTGAGGACAATTCCGTAATTAAGTGGTATTGGGGTCTTTGGGCCTCGGGGCGGCCAACCCCTAAACCCTCGACCCTCAACACCACGTGCCTTGTACAGCTTGATGGTGCGGGCCATCGTCATTCGAGCACCGAGGTGTGAAAAGCCCACTTCAATGAGCTTCTTCGGGTTAAGGGAGCGGTGGTGATATCCTTGGCCAGAGATGACTCAAGCACATAAGCACGACAACTATGCAAGGAGCTGAATCCGAAGAAGGTTTAGAGGGTGTAGGGCTTAGGGGTCTAGGGTAAGACGGAGGTTTTTCACTGAGAAAGCTCCCGCTACCGAGGACCAAATAAAGATCTCTGGATTCTTCCTGCGATCGAAAGGTCGGCACTCGCTGACTGGTCTGGGCAAGACCACACCTGCTGTGTAAACGGCTTGCCAGATGTTCTCCCGATTCACGCGGCGAGTAATCTCCTGCAACTGGTGAATCTGCGGGCTGAACTGACACAAGCCAAAGGCTGGTTGAGGATGGTAGCTCTACCGATGTTCTGTCCCTTTTGTGGCAGAAGGTTTGCACGGCCTCACGCGCGGCTTGTGCAGGGCAAGCTACATGCCTGAGAACTGCCATCGGTGACTTCTGCTTCAGCAACCAGAGGGGTTCGAAACCCCACGCCTACATCATGATACTCTTGCTCATATGAACCCGGACTCAGCGCATCAGCTGGGACCACCAAGCCGCACATGAAACTCCCTCACCCTCAACCCCAAACCCTAAACCCTAAACCCTAAACCCCAAACCCTGCACCCCAAACCCCAAGCCCGAAACGTGGAAGGCAACTCTGGCCTTGATGAGGACCGGCGCCAGCCTCTTGGACCGCAGCTTCTTGTGCACGCAGAGGAAGTTGATTTCCGCCATCTGGACCACTTTATCGAAGACCTCCCCAAGCTGAAGACTCTCTCTCTCTCTCTCTCTCTCTGCCGCTGCATCCCAAAGGACTGTTTAGGGTTTAGGGTTTAGGGTTTAGGGCTTGGGGTTTGGGGTTTGGGGTTTAGGGATGTTTAGGGGACATGCCTCAACTTCAGTCCGGGGAAGCAAGGACGCGGCATGCAAGAGCATGCTGTCAGCTTACCACTACGGAGGTGCACACTTGGGTGCCAAAGAGCCCAACACACATTGATTCAGGAATTCCCTAAATCATATTCAGGATCCCTCAATAATTTAAGGTATATTCCTTAAAAGAAGGGGTATTAGGCTCTCTGGGTGTACTGGATCGCCCTACGATCACCCGGCAGTGCTTGCGAAAGCCCCTGTGAAAGCCCCGCTGTCCTGGATGTTGGCGGGGATCCCTGTGATGAAGCCCACAAGCCTTGACAACTTTGCCGGGGAGGGGGGGGGGGCGGGGGGATCATGCAAAGAGCTCTTGCGCTTGGAGGTCCACATGAGCAAAGTCACTTGCCACCGCCTTTGACACGAACGCCCAAATGCCAGCTCCTGCTGCAGGAAAGGATGCCCCAGCTGCGACATAAGAAGGAACCAGCGGCAGATTGCATGCCTTCGCCTACAACATCGCCATGTGACAGTCCTCAAGTACTCTGGTGGTTTGAGCGCCCATCGCAAAAAATCCGTGGAGTAGTCAAAGCGGAACATGCTGTCCTGAGAAGCTGCGAGACGCTGAGTCCGAAACAACCGGCCAATACCAGAAGGCCAGAAGCCCCTGAAATCATCACAGGCACATCATCTTCAACGTAATTCTCCGTCAGGAGCGTATACACCTCCAGGATCTCAGTCTCCGAATCCACGTCGCCTGTCACTTCGAGACTCCAGATCGAAGGCTTCTTCGCAGGGACAGGCGGAGAAAAAATGCCATGATGGACCAAACACGACCATGTTATAAGCTTCAGCATCATCTCAGTCATTCCCAGCACTGCAGTGGCCAACTAAAAAGCCACACCAAAGACTATGTGCAAACCTGCATCCCACGGGGTTGCAACATGTAACTGCGGACATGGCGCACGTGCACCATTCAAACTGGGCGGGCAGCGGGTATGGATCCTTATGTCAGCAGGCTGCAGTATACAATTGTGCTGGAGCCCTGCGAACCCCCGTGCAACTTCAGAACCGCATGGTGTTCATCCGAAATTGCCTTTAGCACTCATGAAGCCCCCAAAACTTCCATTCCCTGCACGGGAATGCTGTTGCTTTGCACACCCCAGCGGCTGCACGAACATCATCTGGGGTTTTCACGACATCCAGAGGTCCCGTATCTTGGTCGTACCTCACAGGGTTGTCTTGTGGCCCTGAGAGCCCCATACCCCTTAATTAACGAATACACCTTAAATTGTACAGTGATCCTTGTTGTGGCTTCAAGAGTATTGCTTAATTAAGGGGTATTGGGCTCTTTGGGTTCTCCCTCTTCTTTATGCAGCTACGAATCCCCATCGACCTATCAACTATCCGAAGCTGAAAAGGCTCGGAGCCTGTACAGCAGTGGTCCCCCCGCGATGTCACAACTGCGCAATCGCGTGAATGCTTGCGGAGCACTCGGCGCTCATGGACGGAACGGGCTGGGTGTCCCAGAAAGCGTGCTCGCGCGCCGTGTGCCGACGAGACTCCTCCAAGGGCGTTGTTGCGAAACAGCAGCTTTAGGGCCACAGTATATACTCTATGGCACATGGACCCTTCGGGCTCTAGCTGCTAAGAACGGCACAGAAAAGGCACGCTCGGCCTCACAGGGCCCCCGCTTTTTCAGCATCTGCTGGAGCTGCATCTGGGGATCTTCCTTGCTTCGGGCTGTTAATTATAGACCAGGTCAGAGGGGGTGATGGACAGAGGAGGTGATGGACATCGTTCTGGTGTCGAGGCCTTTATTCAAACACGCCGCTGCCGTTAGCTGACCTGCACGCAAGACCAACGATCCCTGGACCGCACCACTCTCACCCAAAAAAAAGCAGGCTTCCAAGTTTCAGCTTCCTCCGACTTCTGCTCGCCATCGTTTGCGTCCGTGCTTGGATAGCCGTCTTTTTTTCCGCCCTTCTTCCTTGGCATGTGGATGTTTTTGGGATGTACCCCCGTATACCTGGCAGTCCTACATAGGGACTAGAGTACCCCCCTACTATAATCCCGATCAAGGACTTGTGAGGATAAGCGCATCCCACAAGATGTGGATGCTGCTCATGCCATGACTGCAATGTGCAAACCATGGCAAACCTCCCGGCTTTGGGTTTAAACCCTAAACCCTAAACCCTAAACCCTAAACCCTAAACCCTAAACCCTAAACCCTAAACCCTAAACCTTTCATGAGCCACCGCAGCCGCCCAGGATGCCCTGAAAGACTGCGTTGAGAGCAACTGCGACCAGCGAAGCCTTCTGCTGTGCTTGGAGGTTCGTGGCACTTATCACCCACCCAGAACTGTCCTTATCACCCACTTCTATGCCCCTTTGAGTGCACAGCTGTCACTGGTATTTTGAAGCACCATGAACCTCCAAGTACGTGTGGTTGGCGAACACCAAAAGAAAACACAAGCTGAGCGGCTTCTTCTTCTTGCCGTCGGCAGCCTTGCTTGTTGGCTTCGTTTGTTCAACGGCTCCCTCGAAAGCGTCGGCGTATCAGCAAGCTGTGATGGTAAGAAGTATCGCACAGCCCTAAACCCTAAACCCTAAACCCTGAACCCTAAACCCTGAACCCTAAACCCTCTTTTTTGCAACTGTGCTTGGGGCCGGGCCAGGTCAGGATGTCTCAAATCCTCTTGACTGAGGTTTTAACCCTAAACGCTGAACGCTATACCCTGAACCGCAACTATTCTTGGGTGGTTTTAAGAATGTTTTGGCAAGCCCTGATGCATGGTCGCCAACATGTAATGCCATAGAATATTGACTAGAATAGAAGTAGAGTGGAAAAGGCTAGAACGAAATAGAACCCAATAGGAAGAGAATAGAGTGTGAAAAGAACTGAAGAGACTAGAGCAGAATCGACAAAGAACAGCTTGAGTGGCTACTATCCTGTCAAGCTATAGTACATGCTTGACATTCCTTGCAGCTCTACATCGTATCGTTCTCCCCCTGCTTAATACTGCTCCCCCCGCACGCACGTGCACATGCAGGCACATGTCAGAAGCCATGTGTCCCATGCAGCAGCATCTCCCCAACCAAGCACGACGCCAACAACTTTGCCGACTGACCATCCGAAAAACACAACACATCCGAGCTCTCGACCCAAAGAGCCCAATACTCCTTAACTAAAGAATATACCCTAAATCATAAAGGGATCCTGAATATGATTTAAGGAATATTCCTTAATTAAGGGGTATTGGGCTCTTTGGGTCTTCCTCTGCAGAGCAGAGGCCCGACTACTTCTTGGGCTGGCGCTTTGAACCCAGAACTGAGCTCCTAAACCCTAAACCCCTGTTTTCCTGCAACCGGGCTCATTGCACCCTAAACCCCTAAACCCCTAAACCCCGAAACCCACAAGAAACCCACCTGGCAAGGTTCATTTCCACAGCGGCTCGCCTCGTGATTGCCTTCGTCGCCCTCCGCTTCCGCTTCTTCGTCAACTCGCGGCTCCTCCTGGTCCCATGCACATGGTACTTACTAACCATTTCGGGTTTAGGGTTTAGGGTTTAGGGCTTAGGGTTTAGGGTTTAGGGTTTAGGGTTTTCATGGTATTTAGTAACCCAAATATAATTGTACTTACAACCCACTTCTAAGCCCCTCAAGTGCCCTAACATGGTCATAATTGGGTTATAAGTACAGTTTTGGTTGCGTTACTAAGCACCATGAAACTCTAAGTACTTAGTGCCTCCTAGAGACTTGCTAAGTCAAAAGGGCTCCCAAGCAGGCTTCCCCACATAGTTACAAATAACCAGTAGTAAGTAGTAAATAAGAACAATGAATAGTCATATGTGCGACCTCATGACATTACTAGTAGTTCACCTTTACTACAAGCCATTAGCAATCATGACGAAGCATTAACAACAAGTCGTGCAACGTTCACACAGCTAAACCCTAAACCCTAAACCCTAAACCTTGATGACCGATCTGCACACTCGATGTGCGTCCACGAAGACTCGGTTCCCTAAGCAACTCCCAGATGAAGGTCCCGCTGACTAAGCCCCGGCCAGTCTTTCCGGTCGTCACACACCCTCATATGGGAGTTTCCGAAACCAGGGGTATCTGAGTGCGGTCCTGATTTCAAGGGAATCCTACTATCTGGGGGACTCTACTTTCGGGGTCCCTGATTTTCCTAAACCCTAAACCCTTTCTCCCTAAACCTAAAGCCTTACACCGTAAACCCTAAACCCTAAACCCGAAACCCCTAACCCTAAACCCCTAAACCCCTGGGCACTCGAATCCTTGCTCGAGCATTTTTCCTCGTCAGCCATGGCCAGGAGACGACTGAGGCAACTGAGGGCCGATGGCCTCTACACCCAGCCCCTAGGAGGATCCAAAAATTAGAACCCCCAGAAGGGTACCCTACACTACTGGTTGGGTCATTCTTAGGCACTCTTAAGGGAGGTACCTTTTTTTGGATCCTAGCAGGATTCTTGGAATATTTCGACACCGTGACTGCCATGGAATGTTTTATCCAGTCGCCCTGTCAAACTGTTGCGTCTGGGCGTTCTTGAACGAAAGGTTGCTGCAAGCAGGATGTCATGACATGTCCCTTGCATGTCAACAGCCCTTCTTCATGCAAAAGCCACCTGGAACCAAAAGCATCGGCTTGGCAAGTCGCATGTGCCGGTTGGGGGCATCCTGCGGCTGATTTTTCGGTCCTGGTAATCATGGCACTTGGGACGTTCCCCCTTATGCTAGCAGTCCTTCATAGGGATTATAGTACCCCCCCTACTACAGTCCCTATTCAAAACTGTTAGTATAGGGGGGAACATCCCAAATTAGCCTGCTCTTCCTTCGTCATTGCGGAAGTGGCATGATGCCGACCGACGCTTCTCCATAAACAATGCGGTCATCAAGAATAGGAAGTCATTGGCGCAAAAAAATGGGCAGCTGCAACAGATCTCAACATGCTGCCTGAATTGAACAAAAGCACAGCAACAAGACCCGTGGTACCCTTTTTGTGGGTCCCTTTAAGGGGATTCAATTCTATCTGAGGTATACAAGGGGTACCCCCTTAGTTTGGGAAATCCCCAAAATCTCATGCCGGGCTTCCAGAGGTCCTTAGTGTCCACAGGAAGCCGTGCAATCATGAGCGCCTGATGGGCTCACTACTGCTATCACACCCTTCACCTCGAGCCCCGGGAGGATCCAAAAAGTAGATCCCCTTAAGGGTTCCTAAAAATGACCCAATTGTAGATATAGTAGTATAGGGTACTGTTTATGGGGCTCTACTTTTTGGATCCTCCCAGGGGTCTGGGTACGTCAGCTGAACACCGAGGCAGGCACCACGTCGTCCGGACATGCCGGGACTGGCTGCAGCACTTGGAGGTTCATGGGTACTTCTAACCACAGCTATGTCTACTTTTAACCCACTTCGGGGACTTAGGGGGCTTATAAGTACAGTGAGAATTAGGGTTATGAGTATCATAGCCTGGGGTCGAGCAGCTGGCCATGTTGTGAGTTGCGCTACCACTGTAAAGACGAGCATAGAGGAGCCCAGAGTTGCAGGAACAGGGCGCGACACGATGCGTCCGAAACGTCAAGTCTCGGCCGGTTCAACTTGAAGCGCTCTGCTCTTCAGAGGTTCCACTTCCCGCTGACAAAACACAGATTTGCGCTGGCCGCAGGAGCTTGCCAAAAGTCTTGCGCTCCAAATCTGATGATCGGCAGCTTCGGTGAAACCCGCGCATGAATCATGCGCATCTACTCCGCAACTGTCTCACCTGTACAATCTTAAGTTGCAGCGAAAATGCCGTCGGCAGGTCGGACAAGACATGTGCCCATGTCGAATGAGCTTCTCGCAACAGCTCTCACACATGCAGTGGCCGCAAGGGACCAGTGCGCAATTGGCCTCGTTCGTGAGGCAAACCTGACTTGGGAGCTCTTCGCTTGGACGACGGGGCAACCCAAAGGAATCCTCGACAAGAGCTAGCCAACGAGCCCAATACCCCTTTAGTAAGGAATAGCAGATGGATCCTTAACATGATTTAAGGTGTATTCCTTGTATTTAAGGGGTCTAAAAGGCTCTTGGGCCTAGAAGAGTCACTAGCACAGCCAAGCGGCAGGGCACTCTGCATATTGCGGTTCCTTGGGCTGCGAAGCGTCGCTCTGCAGCAGCTCCAGCAAGCCACCCAAGGTCGCGTTCTCTTGCTGCCACGAGCTCTTCTCGGCCTCCAAGCGCAACACCTTCCCCTTGAGTTCGTACGTCTCCTCCTCTTTCAGTCGCAGGGCGGTGCTCATGGAGCCGACACTCTGGATGTGGTTTTTGAACTCCCTCTCCGTCACTGCCAACTCCGACTCGCGGAACCTGAGCTCCTGCCGCAGCAGCTCCAGCAAGCCACCCAAGGTCGCGTTCATCTGCCGCAATCTGCTCTTCTCGGCCTCCAAGCGCAACATCTTCCCCTTGAGTTCTTGCGTCTCCTCCCAACGGCAGCCCGCGCTGTTCCATGCTGTTCCAGTAGACAGCCCGCAAGAATACAAGAGTTTTGTAGAGTAGTCTGCTACAGAGATATAGCTTCCGTGACCAACAGATCCTTAAGACTACAATGCCGCAGAAGCTGCCAAATTCAACGCAAGCAATTGCATCCTGCTGGTGATGGCATTTTCGGCCAAGTGCACCCTCATCCAAAAAGACCGAATTCCCAGGCCCGGTCCTCGTCTGCTTCTTTGGCCACGTAACCCTCGCAGACCTGGCTGCTGCATGCTGCTGCAGACACTGATCTCCGGCTGGCGGCTCAACGGACCAAGGGGGAACGACCGTCAAGCGCTGAGACTCAGAAGCTCTCAGAGGCAGGGTGCTCCTTGGCTTGAGGGCACATCGAGCAGCTGCATCCTGTACAAAGGCCACTTAAGCCCGCCAAGAAACACAGCGGGAGCACTTTGACTTCGAGCAAGGCTCGGAGTCCTTGTAGGGCCACTTCGTTCAATCGTTCCGTCGCTTCTTCATAAGTCCCCAGAAACCCCGTTATACCCCGTAGCTAAGGAACATCCCTCACATGCTGAAGGGATCGTAGATTCCTTAAGTGAGGGGTATAAATTAAAGGGCCCTTTGGGTCTGCAAGCTTGGTACAAGGCGGTCACATGCGGTCACTCAGCATACTTAGCCCGATAGAGGAAGACTGCCCAAGAAGCAGAATCTCGGCTAAACATGCCGATGCATATGAAACACTGGCCTGTCGGCCATGAACTTCATGTGCACGAAAGTGTTCTTTTCTTGAAGCTCCCACATGCCATCCTCCTGGCTCGCGGCCAGGGTTTAGGGTTTAGGTTTAGGGTTTAGGGTTTAGGGTTTAGGGTTTAGGGTTTAGGGTTTAGGGTTTAGGGTTTAGGGTTTAGGGTTTAGGGTTTAGGGTTTAGGGTTTAGGGTTTAGGTTTAGGGTTTAGGGTTTAGGGTTTAGGGTTTAGGGTTTAGGGTTTAGGGTTTAGGGTTTAGGGTTTAGGGTTTAGGGTTTAGGGTTTAGGGTTTAGGGTTTAGGGTTTAGGGGAGAGAACCAAAGTTGGAAGTCTCGTCACCTATGATGCAGCCTGTTGAGATGTCAAACTTGCAAACTTGAACTGCCGCCAGCCAGCCTCCTGGCTCATGTCACTCATCGCGACGGCGCCTGCGCTCATTGGGAACTCTCGGCTGACATGCACGTGTGACCGCTCCCGACGAATGGCACCTCGAGCTGTGGCATCCATCTCCTTCACTAAACAAGGCCAGGCAAGGCCCGGCAAGGCCCGAACTATAGTTTCACTTGAAGCCGAAACACTGCAAGACGTGGTGGGTAGGGCTACAAAGTCCTCCCAACCCAGTGGTCCAAAGAATTCCGAGAATTCAGGGTTCCGGCCTTCATCTTTGAGGGTCCAAGGCTTGGGGGCTTCGCGTGGTTCTCCTTTCAAGCTATGGCAGGTCAAGAAGTCGCGTTTGGGATGTACTTGAAGGTTCATGGTACTTACTAACCAATTATAACTGTACTTATAACCCTACTTATAATACCCCTAAAGGGCCGTATAGGGGTTATCCCAATTAAAAGTAGGGTTATAAGCCCAGTTATAATTGGTTAGTAAGTACCATGAACCTTCAAGTAACCCTATGCAACTTGAAGCCGCTCCTCAATGGAACTCTGCTCTACGACTGGGGCTTCCGACTATTTTCTCTGGAGTTGAGGGCGGTATCACAACGTCCCCTTAGGAACCCAACATTCCATCAAATTCCTTCCTAGACAAATCATATGATCAAGCGACGGGCGGACGCAGGCTGACGGCACCTTTTGGCCTTTGAGCACGTCTGTGGCGCCGGGAAGGCTGACGATGGGCCAGCCTTGGATTCGGAATCGCCTCAGGGCGGAAAATAAATACAGTTTCAGTGAGATGAATAAATACAGTTTCAGTGAGATGGCGCATTGCTCAGACCGGACTCAAGTGTTCTCCGTCAGGCGAATCTGCGGCTCACGCCGTTGGCACCTGATTTCAAAGGCTCGAAGAAGGCAGTACAGAAGCTTGAGGGATACAAGACCTGCCTGAATGCGCACATTATCTGGTGGGCCTGAGACATTAAACGACATTAAACGAGGGTTCTGGCCCAGAATTTCGCCCCGGCACCTGGTAGGTCGCGGGCTGGTAGGTCGCGGCCTGGTATGCGGCAGGCTGGTAGGTGGCGGCCTGGTATGCGGCAGGCTGGTAGGCAGCAGCCGCTTGCGTTTGCTGCGGCACCTGCTGATAGTATTGTGGCACAGGGACCATCTGCTGCATCTGCTGGCCGGCGTAGGCCATCATGTTTTGGATCTGGTTCTGGAACTGCTGCGGGTAGGCCTGTGGTGAAGTGACCTGCGGGACTGCCGGCGCCTCCTCGATCATGGGCGCTGCATCCACACTGACGGCGCGCTTAGACTTCTTTTTCTTCTTCCCATCTCGGGTCATGAGGTAGTAGGCGGGGCCTGCCAAAGCCAGGGCGCCAGCTATGCCCGCGATCGCGCCGTAGGTCGTGGCGTTGTCGCTGCCGCCCGAGCTGCCCGGAGCGGCGCCGAGGACCTCGTCGGTGGCCTTCTTGGCCTGTAATCCAGTCTGTGTCATGTCGCCGCCGACCTGGCCCAGTGAGGCGCCCACGGCGCCCAGTGGCGCTGTCGCCGCTCGCACCACCGGCACAGGGTTGGGCGGGGGGGTCCCGAGGTTGGCGGACGCCGTCTTGACCGGTTGGGCAGCATCTCCGCTCGGAGCAGCGCCGAGGACCTCGTTGATCTGGTCGGCGGCCTCCTTGGCCTGTACTCCCGCAGACTGCATCGCGTCGTTGGCCGTCTGTGCCATGTCGCTGCCGACCTCGCCAAGTGAGGCGCCCAGTGGCGCTGTCGCCGCTCGCACCATCGGCACAGTCCCGAGGTTGGCGGATGCCGTCTTGACCTGTTGGGAAGCGTCTCGACCAAGCTGGTTCAGCGAGCTGCCGACCTTCATTGCCTGCTGATTGACCTGGTTGTGCATGTCGTCTGCCTCCTGACTCAGGTCACTGCTGACCTGATTAGCCTTCTGGGCCAGAGCGTCCCCAGCCTGATTCACCTGCTGGGTCAAATCCTGTTTGAGCTCGTTGGCCTGGCTGTTGAACTCCTTTGCCTTCTGGCTCAAGGCACTGCTGGCCTGATTGGTCTGCTGGGCCACATCATCCACAATCTTGTTTGCCTGCTGGCCCACTTCCTGCTGCAACTGGCTGACCTGGCTCTGCAACTCCTTTGCCTTCTGGCTCAGATCGCTGCTCAGGCCAGCGCTTGCTTGATTGAGTTGTTGTTGCAAATCGACGCCGTTGCTGTTGAACTCCTTGGCCTTCTGGGTCAGGTCACTGGTGACCTGATTGGCCTTCTGGGTCAGATCGTTGGCGGCCTGATTTGCCTGCTGGGTGAGATCCTGGCCAACCTGGTTCACCTGGCCCTGGATCTCATTGGCCTTCTGGCTCAGGTCACTGCTGGCTTGATTGATCTTCTGGGTCAGAGCGTCTCCAACTTGATTGGCCTGATTGGTCAGATCCTGCCCGAGCTGGTTCAGCGAGCTGCCAACATTGACGTGGCCGTTGAGCTCGTCTGCCTTCTGGCTCAGGTCGCTGCCGGCCTGATTGGCCGTTTGGGTCAGAGAGTCCCCAACCTGATTGACCTGCTGGGTTAAATCCTGCCCAAGCTGGTTGGCCTGGCTGTTAAGCTCCTGTGCCTTCTGGCTCAGGTCACTGTTGACCTGATTGGTTTGCTGGGCCACATCGTCCGCAATCTTATTTACCTGCTGGCCCACTGCTTGCTGGAACTGGTTGACCTGGCTCTGGAACTCTTTGGCCTTCTGGCTCAGATCACTGCTCAGGCCAGCGTTGGCTTGATTGGCCTTCTGGGTCAAATCCTTTCCGAACTGGTCGAGCTTCTGTTGCAAGTCGGTGGCGCCGCTGTTCAACTCCTGTGTCTTCTGGGTCAGGTCACTGTGGGCTTGATTGGCCATCTGGGTCAGATCGTTGGCGGCCTGATTTGCCTGCTGGCTGAGATCCTGGCCGACTTGGTTAACCTGACTCTGGAACTCATTTGCCTTCTGGTTCAGGTCACTGCTGGCTTGATTCATCTTCTGGGTCAAATCCTTTCCAAACTTGTCCATGTCCTGCCCGGCCTGGTTCAGCTGGTTGGTGATGTGGCTGGTCAACTGGCTGCCAGCCTCGTTTGCCTTCTGGAAAAGATCCTTGCCAAATTGGTTCAGCGTGTTGCCGACATTGCTCGCAGCATTGGTTATCGACGCTGCGTTCACTGGGGTCTCACCCGCACAGGCCTTTGGCCCGCTGTACGACTTCTCATCGACCTTCTCCTGCACATCCTCTCCCAAAAGGTTGCAGGCACCGCCGGGGAAAGAGTCCTCCTTCCACGAGAAATGCTTGCAGGTTGGGTTGATGTAGCAGGCCATCTGGCACATCTTCGGGGTGTAGAGCCAGGCGGCATTGGGGGTGCTCTTGACGTCGCTCACGTAAGTGACGCCCTTCTTGGCGCAAGTCGGCACCGCATCGCTGTTGGGTTCGGCCGCGCCGCCGCGGAGGGCGAGGAGGATGCAAATCCCGCGAAGCATTGCTGGCACTTATGGCAACACCCACAAACACGAACCACCACTTTTGCTTGGGCAAAGGGGCAAAGGCCACCTCACTTGACAGCATTGCGCTGTGTCCTGCCAAAGGTACCAAATGCTGCTCGACATGCTTATCATGCCCGTTGCATTTCTTGGAATCTTATGGTCAAGCACCTAGCGTTGGCGCGCTGGTGGCACTTTTTGCACCTTTGAGCACGCACCACGTCTGTGGCGTCGGGACAGCTGACGATGGGCTTGCTTTGGGCGCGGGATCACCTCAGAGCTGAAAATACAATAAAGTGAGACGATGCATTGCTTTACGGAATTGTAGATCCCCCGAAAATACCCTTTAAGGGACTACATAGGGTACCTTATTTTCGCATTCTCTGCTAACCAACCTTAAGCTCGGACCAGACTCCGGGTGGGTCTGCAGCGTTGGGTTTCAAATCGTGAGGGTGCGGTCGCACAGTAGCGCCAAAACGACTGCAACAACCCATCTATGATGACCTGTCACTGGAACTGCAAACCGTTTACTCTACAGCTACTCTACAGCGTCTTCCTGCTTCAGCCTTTTGGAGTGTGTTGGGAGTACCGACAACATCCGACAACCCTCTATTATCTCTCTTGCTCCCTGAAACCTTTTTAATCCTTTTTAATTATATAATTTTTATTGCTCGCCAAATCTCGCTGCCGCTCCGTGTAGAAGCAGATCTGGACAGGAAAGCTTTACCATCTTGTGTTTCACGTCATATGCGTACCTCTGCTTCCGTTTTTGCTTCTATATTGGGCAGAAATGCCCAAACTCCTGGGAGGATCTACAGAGTAGAACAGTAGTAAAACCCCAAATAGTACCCTATACTACTATTGTGTCATTCTTTGGAACCCATCTATTTGTGGATCCTCTCACAGGGGTCTGGGTTGTAGATCAGGAGATGACCTGCGGGTCGGGCATCAGAATGGAAGGAATTGGGACGGAAGATGCCGAGGGTGGACAAGGCGGAAGGGGGTGACCAAAAGCATTGCCCTAAACTCTACGAAAATTCTAAACCGTGGTAGGCTGATCGCTTCATGCACCCCACAACGACTGCATCAGATATTCTCTATTCCACCCGTGCCTCTCACATAGAAGGCGCTCCAGTCTACAGCACAGCCGTTTTCCTCCTGATGCCTGGATCTCGCGACTCTTTCAAGAAATCGCCCATACCAGCTTAGCCAGAGCCAAATCCAGTTCTGAAAAATCAAGCCAGCTGTCTGCATCCAGCGAAAGCTTTGCAAAAACCATTGCCATGCCGTTTGCAGCTTTCCGTGCCCCTCCGCTGCCCCAGATACATGCAAAAGCTCACTGTTCATGAACGGATTGACGCTCGTCCAGCAATCTCGTCCCAAAAGTGCCAATACCTGCTGCCCGTATGCTGCCAATGCCACCAGCATTGGGCATTCCTTGTCGTGGATAAGATCTGCCATCTTCGAAGTTTCGACTGACGCTTAAAATCTTAAATAGATTGATTTCCATGGCACCTGTTTCGAACACCTGCGTAAGCGGTCGCAGAAGCAACATATCACGTTCATCTGCTGACACCAGCCCAGCAGGACACTGCCACACAAAGGGATTCCAGTACGCACTCCAGTCGCGGGCGGGCACTGACGCCATCGTTGCGACCGTCGGGGTGGCGTCAAGAGCACGTCTAGCACTCGACACGGTGACCGGGGCAGTGGAGGCGCATTGTGGCATCGCATCCAATCTTGGCAAAACGCGACGGCTCGGAGGCTCGGAGAGGCCTGCTCCGCCGGGCCTGGCTGAGCTTAGCCCCGACGTGTGGAGGGGGGACCGGCCCTCGCACGAACGAGGCATGGTTGTGCTGGGCTCCCCTGTAGGCGTGCACCGGCTGCTCGAGAAGCAACAACTCCTGCAGCAACTGCCCCAGCTCCCTGACCTGCAATGTTCATGGTTGCTGCTCGCGCTCTGCGCGTTTCCGCGCGCGAGCCACGCGCTGCGCACGGTGCCCCCAACCGCCATTGCCTCGTATGCCGCGGGCCACGACGATGCCATCTGGCACACGCTGCTGGACTGCTTGGGCGGTGAGGCAGGGGCCCCACCAGGATGCGCACCTCGCGCGGGCGACCGCTTTCCTGCCGGCAGCGTTAGGTAACTAAGGTCTGCAGTGGCAGCGCCGGCGACTTACTGGGCAGCCTGGGCAGCCTTGCCAGTCCTGGGGGCCAGGCTCCCGGTTTTTGCGGTGCACTGCGTCGAAACACTCCAGCGGGGTATGCAGCGCGGTGGTCCCCGTACACATCAAGCCGACGCCGGCAGCGGCATGTGGCAGAGTCGACGGGGAGGATGCTCCACGGACGTCTTGCCCAGCCGGATGCGGCCGCTCGGCGCACTGTTGGCGGCGTGCGGCATGCGCGGATGCGGACCATGTCGCGCATGAATCGCAGGGCCCCGCCATTCCAGCGACCCCCGACCTCCGAGCCGAGCACGACGAGCCGCTGGGGCCCGCCGCCCGTGAGCTCCGGGTAGGCTGCCTGTTTGCGTCGTTCAGCAACGCGGAGCGCTGCCCCATCCGTGTCGGCGGCGCGGCTGCCCCGTGCGCGTCAAGGGCGACACGAGGGTAGCGTCGCAGCGCAGCGCGATGCCCATGGGCGTGGCCCCGAAAACCAGCATGTCCAGCCGCCTGCGGACATCTGCCGCGACTCCTGGTGCCGAGGTGTGTCCCAACCATTGTTGGGGCACCACTTGTCCCTCGGGCCCTACTGCTTCCCGGGCGATCCGGCCCCACACATACCCACACCATCGCCACCAATGTTGCTATGTCCATGTCGCACGCCAGGACGACAGGCGCATCGAGGTCAGATTCCCTCGTTGTTGTGCCCAGAAAATTTTCTGATTGTTTTTTTGGTTTTTTCTGATTCCCTCCGCGGGCCATGGGCTGAATGGGAAAATATACAACCGCTGGCCAGCCACGCCGCCACCAGCGACAAACACTCGAGGCCAACCGCCGAGCCAAGCAGCGCACCTGCCCGGAGCTCCTCAGCTCCCCAGCTCGTCGTCCTCGCACTCGAGGTCGGGCCGGTGGAACAAGGAAGCAGCGCAGTTCCTCCGGCTGCTTGCCAGTTGCCGGGCACGTGATGTCCCCTAGCTCTTTCGCGTATGCGTGGGTAGACCGCTGGTCCGCACATGCGCAAGCCAGCCGTCGCATCAGGCGGGGGAGGGTCAGTCTGCTGCTGCGGCCTCGAGCAAGGCTGCGAAACATGTGACGATGGCGTGGTCATGCTCTGCCGCAGAAGGCTGCGGTCTGTGGCGGCGGCACGGTCCGGAAAAGGCAGCTGGTTCCGGGACATGTGCAGAACTATTCGTGTTGCACAAGTGTTGTACATTTAGCCTGTGATGCACAGCTTCGTACTTCTCTGCAGCAAACTGTGCTATGTTCCTTGTTTGGCACCGACATCTCGTCGCAGACTCAACGTCGGTTCCTCAGACCAAATCGAAATGCATGGGGGAATTTGGCAAAGGTGCGTGTCCGTGCCAATATAACGTTTTCAGATCTGACAGCGCTGGACACGTGTTCCTCGTTGCCGTTCCGCATTGGAGCTGCAGCACCATGTTTAACCTGGTTGCGGCACGCAGAAGAATGCAACAATTGTTGACCAGTGAGCACGCACATGAAGAACATGGACAATGCGCAAATTCAGCTTCATGGACGTGGATGAGCACGACGCATGGGCAATGCAAACACGCGTATGCTCCTCCGCATGCTGTCCGCATGCCTTTATGTCCGTTTGTTATCTTGCTGCTGCAGCTCGAACCAGGTGAGGTGGTGGGAACGGAGGGGTGAGGACTGTGAGACGGCGACAGATGAGGCACGAAACAACAGCGTGCGGCTCGAGAAGAGGGAAAAGCCGAACAGTCTGCAGGGACGTCGCTGAGCGGCGGGATGTTGCCATCGACGTTGGCCGTGTTTGTCGAGGTTTGTCAAGGGGGAATGCGAGGCACCTGCGAAAACCGGCACGTGCACTAAAGTAGCTGTAGCCGTGTGGCCTGCCATGCATGACTTGCGAAATGTTTTTCCGTGCGGCTAGAATGAGGCTAGTGCCATGGTCGACAGTCCTGCCCTCGAGGCCCGACAAGGGCAACGCGCGTGCTAGGAACAGCCACCAGAGGGAAAATCCCGGCTGCATCAAACGTGTCGCGAACACGACATCACTGGAATGCCAGTCTTAGGGCGTTAGCTTGGTTGGGGCTGCCGTGAAACCAGGACCAATGTGGCGTACAATTTGTTGCTGCGTCTCCACATCCTTGCCCTCAGTGCCGTGGGCCACGGTGAAAACGGAACTCCCTGAATTGTTGCACCCCCCCGAAGTCTTGCCAGGCTCACGGATGTTGGAGCCCTGAAGCGGCACAGTTCCTTCGCCTCCTGGCGCACTGCCGTGACCGCACTTTGCCGGCCAGTCGCTGCTTTCACCTTCTGGCAATTTGTCTTGCCCTGATGCGAAGTGCCCCGAAGAAGCGGGCCATCCATGTCGCTGTGCTTCAAGCAGCTGCGTGCGCGCTACAGAGTACAGCGGGGATCAGTCAGGCACAGCTGCCCCTGAACCAGGTCTTCACTCATGGCTATAGCAATGGGGTCCCTCGTTTGTTCTCTTATCCTCCCAATCGCCTCATCATTGCCTCATTGTGCTCCAATTATCTCCAATTGTTTCATGGCTGTCCTCAGGCGGTTTCGTGCAATGGGTCGTTGTGCAGGCATCACAGTGGCACGTGACGATATGCAAAGTAGGTTGCAGGCGCATGTTCCGCGTCGTGGCGCAAACACACGTGCGCACGTGCGCACGTGCGCACGTGCGCACGTGCAGCGCAAATTGGACCTGCGCAGCGATGTATTATCCGGGCCGAGGAATCGTCCAAGGAGGCTCACGCAAATTACGATCTTCGACCCTGTTTCGGAAGGAGGCGGGGGATGGGACGGGGTCAGCCCATCGGATTTCCAAACACGATGCGAACAGATGGTGCGCGAGGTCACACAGCGGCTGCGCGATGCTGCACGAGCGACCTGGTCACATCCCAGCCGCGCTGTCCTTCGCCACGGCCCGGGGGTTCGCAGCCACGTGCGGCCACTTTGCTGTCTCTCCGCTTGCACGGGACACCCGAGATGGTGGCGACCTATTTGCACAGGGAACTCCGTCGCTTGCCAGCTGTCAGCCACCTCCCACCACGGTGAGCCCCCCGTCTGCCCCCCTACCTCCAGCATCCTCCAGCACTAGCATGTGCCTTGGACTACGGGTCAAATTGCTTGCAGCTTAATAGAGAGATCCGTGGATGTGCGGTGTGCCCCAGGGCAGCTCGGCATCACATCTGCTTGTGTAGGTGAAAGTTCGGCGAATGTCGTAAATGCAAGTAGGTTCAGCAGCCGGCGTCCGCTTGCGTCTGTCAGCTTTGCAGCCTGTAGTCTAGTGCCCGTACCTCTGGCCCTATGCCGTCGCAATCTTCGTAACTCTTTGTTTGGCCTGTCAACCAGAAGTGCTGGCGTGGCCGCGCGTAATGCATAAGACCTTCTGGCCCTGTATACCCATTGGAGGGTAAGGCGGTGGGCAGTGTTTTCCTGCTCGACCTGCCAAAACCTGTGAGCTTGCGGCACGAGCACTGCGTTCAGCCGAACAAGGCGTTCACACGTCCTGCACCTAAGAGGCACGCAGAATGCCGAGCCACTGCACTGTCCTTGCAGTGCGGGCACGGGCTCCGGCACACCCAGCCCAGCATACTACCTTGAACTGGCCGTGCGAAACTGTCACTGTTCGGGTTAAGGTGCGAAACAGTGGTGAAACTGAAAAGTTCACTCGACGTGTTGCACATCACCTGTGCAAGGGCAGTGACATTAAAAACGTTCCCGCGGCAAGCTGCAACACTCGTGACTGGTGGCATCAGTCGAACTGCGGCCTATACAGACGTACCTACGTACATATATGGGAACAGCATGGCACAGCTGCCGTTGCCACAAATACTGTTGGAAGCTGTCTGTGCGCAACGCGAGGTGTGTGGAAAACACCCCATGGATAAACAACCAAGTTCGAGCTGTTGTACCCTGACCGGTTCTTTGCTATGTACTGTAACTTGAAGCGGTGCTGCTGTATGAAAGTGCCATTCGAAAACTGTGTTCGTGCAGGAACAATTTGTTGCGCAGTTTCGTCTCTGCCCACTTTTCGGTGCACACTGCAGCTGTCGACAGGTCTTCGCTGCAGCTTGTGACTATAAGGCGAAAAGGTTTTTTTTCCGACGCCGTGACTAGAAAGCACGGCGCCTGCCGCGCAAGAGTGCCGTGCAAAAACAAAGCACTTGAGAGCGCTCTTAGCTGGGGCGTGGGAGTGCGAAGCACTTTGCAATCCGTCGTAAAGAGCCCTCCTTAATTAGTAATCCGAGCCCCTGTTTTTATTGGGGGGGCCCGCCCGCCCTCTCCCCCCACCCCCCCGCCACAATAAGAAAAGCAGGGTTCCGCAATAGTAAAACCATGGCCTTGTGTTGATTTTCGATTAAGAACAATAGGCCGCAGATCCCTCAGGTGCTGTAGCTTCGCAGCTCAGCAAGCAAACCAGAAGCCTGCCGACAGATTTTGGAACTGCCCCGAAAACATTTTCTTTGAATGTGGTGGTATTGGCCTGTACGAAATCCGCCGTAATGGAAACTACTCTTCCAGCGGGCTTCTCGGCGAAAAGTTTCTTTAAATGTGGGGGGATTAATTAAACAGGTGCTCGGATTAGTAATAGTAGTTGTTGTAGTAGTAGTGGTAGTAGTAGTAGTAGCAGTAGCAGTAGCAGTAATAGTAGTAGTATAGATGCGCACGCAGTGGTCACACAAATGTTATCATCGCGCGGACATGGATGTTCTGGTAGCACGGACGTTATCATCGTGCGGGCGGACATGGATGCTCTGGTAACACGGACGTTACCAGTTATCATCGTGTCAACATGGATGCGCTGGTAACACGGACGTTATCATCGTGCGGACATGGATGCTCTGGCCATTCGCACGCAAAGAAGCCACGAAATGTCGTAAATACCGACGTTTCAGTTTAACAGCCCCAAACCCAAACTGGCAAGGCTGGCGGACTGGAGCATGAAATATGCGCAAAACCTAGGCTTTAGCAGTAAAAAGCCTAGAAAAGTGCACCGTCGCGAATGGTACCAGCGTCTAGTAGTCGTAGTAGTAGTGGTAGTAGGAGCAGTAGTAGTAGTAGTACTACTACTGCTGCTGCTGCTGCTGCTACTACTACTACTACTACTACTACTACTACTACTACGACTACTACTACTACTCTCGGATGAATAGTAATAGTAGTAGGAAAAATAGCACTAGTAATAGTAGTAGTAGTAGTAGTAGTAGTAGTAGTAGTAGTAGTAGTAGTAGTAGTAGTAGTAGTCGTAGTAGTAGTAGTAGTAGTAGTAGTAGTAGTAGTAGTAGTAGTAGTAGTAGTAGTCGTAGTAGTCGTAGTAGTCGTAGTAGTCGTAGTAGTCGTAGTAGTCGTAGTAGTCGTAGTAGTAGTAGTAGTAGCAGTAGTAGTAGTAGTAATAGTAGTAGTAGTTGTTGTTGTTATAGTAGTAGTAGTAGTAGTAGTAGCAGCAGTAGTAGTAGTAGTAGTAATAGTAGTAGTAATAATAATAATAGTAGTAGTAATAGTATGGTATCAATAGCATTAGTAGTAGTAGTTGTTGTTGTTGTTGTAATAGTAATAGTAGTAGTAGTAGTAGTAGTAGTAGTAGTAGTAGTCGTAACTTAGTAGTAGTGGTAGTAGTAGTAGTAGTAGTAGTAGTAGTAGTCGTAGTAGTAGTAGTAGTAGTAGTAGTAGTAGTCGTAGTAGTCGTAGTAGTCGTAGTAGTCGTAGTAGTCGTAGTAGTCGTAGTAGTCGTAGTAGTAGTAGTAGTAGTAGTAGTAGTAGCAGTAGTAGTAGTAGTAATAGTAGTAGTAGTTGTTGTTGTTATAGTAGTAGTAGTAGTAGTAGCAGCAGCAGTAGTAGTAGTAGTAGTAGTAATAATAGTAGTAGTAATAATAATAATAGTAGTAGTAATAGTATGGTATCAATAGTATTAGTAGTAGTAGTTGTTGTTGTTGTAATAGTAATAGTAGTAGTAGTAGTAGTAGTAGTAGTCGTAACTTAGTAGTAGTGGTAGTAGTAGTAGTAGTAGTAGTAGTAGTAGTCGTAGTAGTAGTAGTAATAGTTGTAGTAGTAGTAATAATAGCAATAGTAGTAATAGTAGTAGTAGTAGTAGTAGTAGTAGTATAATAATAATAGTAGTAGTAATAATAGTCGTAGTACAAATAGTATGGTATCAATAATATTAATACTAGTAATAGTAGTAGTAGTAGTAGTAGTAGTAGTAGTAGTAGTAGTAGTAGTAATAGTAGTAGTAGTAGTAGTAGTAGTACTAATAGTAGTAGTAGTAGTAGCAGTAGTCGTATTAGAAGTCTCGTAATAGTAGTAATAATAATAATAGTAGTAGTCGTAGTAGTATTGTCAATATCAGTGCAGGATTTTGAGCTTGTACCTATTGAAAAAAAAAACCTGCGCTCATGTGTGTGCACGTGCACCACTTAAAGGTTACAGTCGAGAAGTTTGTGCCTCCCACGATCGCCAAGACTGGACGTCTAAATCGAGGGGCTCTCGTCGTGAGTAGCCCTGAAGCATAACGGTACAACAAACTGCTTGAATGCGTTTAATGTAGCACGCTTGCACACTCCAACAGAACGCTGGCTCTGCCAGTGCACGTGGCCCAATTGTCGTCTGCAATTTCCAAAGCATTCTTCTTGGGAACGGAGTGGAGAATTTTTGCTGGAGCATATGGGAACCACGTTGCAGGATCCTGACAGGGACCTTACACAGTCGGCGGCGGCGGCGCGGACTGGTAAAAGAGGAAGTCGCTAGGACAAATCCAGCTTCACTACACTGCAGAAAGCGAGACGCTCTGCTCGTACAAATATGCAAACGCCAAGGTGGGCCCGAGCACGCTGCAGGAATGGCATTAAAGTCTCTCTTCAGCGCCTCGAAGTTGGCGACAAGGAAGTTTTTGATGCTAGGCATGGAAGCAGTGGGGACTGCAATCTCTTCGCACCTTTGGGCTCTGTCTGTCTAGAAGGCATGGAATTCTTTTCCTCCCTATTGAAGGCTTCGAGCCCGCGGAGGTTGGTTTCTTCCACGCGCTGCTCCACGCTGAAAACGCAGAATCAGTACACTGCGCAGCCGACCCTCCAGGAAAGGGGACTGGTAAATGCTTGCGCCTTTGCCAGACAGGTGGCCATCTTTGTTCTTGGCAAGACTGGACTGACTGACGGTGCCTGCTTGATTTACTTTATGCTGTGCGCCGTATCGTCAAAGCGAATGACGTCTTAAAATACAGTTAGAGAAAGTTTGGGTGCCAAACAAGTTCACTTTGCCGCCTGCTGCCTACTTTCTAATTCTGGAGGAAGACTGACACAAAACTTAGACTGGAACCGACTGAGAGGCTTTTTTTGTTTTACTCGCAACAAGAAGCTGTGAAAGCCGATCTGGCATCCGTGTGTGAAAACAACGCCGCAACTGGGCCTAAAAATGGCTCCTTAACTTGGGTCCAATTTGAGGCTCCAACCTGGGTGGCCTTGTGTGTTCACACAGGAAATCCAAAATCTAGGACCCGTTTTCGGTGCCCAGAATTGAGCCGATTTTGGAACCCATTGAGTTCAATAATGATTGAAATCAACTTGCAGACAAACAAGATTTTTTCTGTTTGATACTGTTTGCATCAACACTTAAGAAAAAAAAAAAACCGCCGTCGATGCGCGTTCTTGGCTGAACTTGTCTTTAGCTGGCATTTAAGAGCACTCTTGCATTGCGCGTGCGATCTTTCTCGCACAGTTAGAGAAAGTTTCGGTGCCAAACAAGTTCACACTTTGCCGCCTTGCTGCCCTGCTATTCTAATTCTGGGGGAAGACTGACACAACTTAGACTGGAACCGACTGAGAGGCTCATTTGTTTTACTCGCAAGGAGAAGCTGTGAAAGCCAGATCTGGCTTCCCGTGTGTGAAAACAACGCCGCAACTGGGCCCAAAAATGGCTTCTAAACGTGGGTTCCAATTTGAGGCTCCAAACTAGGTGGCCTTGTATGTTCGCACAGGAAATCCAAAATCTAGGACCCGTTTTCGGTGCCCAGAATTGAGTGTGTGTGTGTGTGTGAGCATTTGTGGTTGCAAAGTGGGTTGGTTTGCGGGTGCATGTCTTTGGCTTTAGTGCAAGGAAAGTTTCAGTGTGTGGGCAAGGGTGGCAACGCATGGAGTCTTAGAAGTGACCAAAATAAAAGAACAATAACCTTGCAAGCGTTTTGGGTGTCATGAAGTGTGGTGTGTGAAGAGGCTTTGGTGTGCGTTTGCGTGCATGTCGGCTGGGTTCCACAGGCTGTTCAAATGTGAAGTGTGTGGCTAAACGTGGGTTCCAATTTGAGGCTCCAATCTGGGTGGCCTTGTCTGTTCACACAGGAAATCCAAAATCTAGGACCTGTTTTCGGTGCCCAGAATTCAGCTGGAAACCATTTGAGTCAATAAATTGAAATCAACTCACAGACAAATAAGATTTTTTCCATTTGATACTGTTTGCATCAACACTCAAGAAAACAAAAAAAAACCGTCGATACGCGTTCTTGGCTAAACTTGTGTTTAGCTGGCATTCAAGACAAAGCAGTCTTGTTGTTTCACACCTTTTGCCAGAGCCATTTTTTGGGTCCAGTTGCGGCGTTGTTTTCACACACGGGAAGCCAGATCTGGCTTTCACAGCTCCTCGTTGCGAGTAAAACAAACAAGCCTCTCAGTCGGTTCCAGTCTAAGTCTTGTGTCAGTCTTCCCAAAATTAGAACAGCAGGCAGCAAGACGGCAAAGTGTGAACTTGTTTGGCAGCGGAACTTTCTCTAACTGTGCGAGAAAGATGCACGCGAACAATGCAAGAGTGCTTTGTCTTGAATGCCAGCTAAAGACAAGTTTAGCCAAGAACGCGTATCGACGGCGTTTTTTGTTTTCTTGTTTGTCTGTAAGTTGATTTCAATTGTTATTGAATACATGCACACAGAAAAACAGCCGAAACAACTGCACATTCTTACTCTTAAGTTCCGATTGCAATTCACTGTCTTTCTGTTTTGATGGTCAGCACAATGCAGAAGCACGCCTGCTTGCAGGCCGATGGGCCGCAGCAAGACTTGCCGACTTGAGGCAAAACCAAGCTTGCGAGGGGTGCAAGACACCACAGAGCTAGAGCTCTCTGCTCGATCACCACTCCGTAACCCCTCTTGGCTCAAGGCCGCTTTGTTCAAGGTGGTTAAGCCACCAAGGGACGCCGTAGAAGGGGTGGGAGTCCGTAGCTAAAGGTCTGGCTTTGCTTGAACCCTACACGAAGGTAGCGGCCCCCTCTGGGACAGCCTGTAGGTGTGCTTGGTGCTGTGTTTGCTTTGTAGCTGGGCTTCTTTGCATTGCGCAGTTCCTTGTGAGCGCCCGCTTGCAAGAAGAATCCAAAGCTTGGCTTTGGATTTCGCACTGTAAACACTTTTGCAAGCTGCATTGGCTCTTCCTTAAGTCTTTGTGGGTTGAGCGCTCGAAAGTTGCGTCAACTGAGCCCTCAGTTGTCCTGCCACCTTTCTCTAACTAGTCGAGACTGAGAACGCCCGTTCTCTTTCTCTTTGTTTCTCTTTCTTGCTTTACTAGTGAGACTGAGAACGCCCGTTCTCTTTCTCTAACGCTTCTCTTTCTTGCAACTTGCTGAGATTGAGAACGCCCGTTCTCTTTCTCTTACTTTTTACTTGTACATTGTGCAGTACGGATAGCTTCGGCGTAAGGTATCTGCACTATGTTGCAAGTGCGAATTAGTTTTACCAAACCTTTCAACTTTGCGGTGCATGTGAAGATAGGAGCATGTTTTTGCCGCAGTTTGAGATCAATGTTTATCTTTTGAACACCGTGCATCATTCTCGACCAAACTGCACTCGTCAGGCCCACCCGGCCAAGGGCACTAAATGTTGCTTGTGTTGATTTTGCTGTTGTGGACGGGGAAGGTGGGTGATGTTTGTTTGTGCGCTTCCCTTGGTTAGTAAGAGCGAGAACGCCAAGGAAGTGCTTTGCGCATTGCGCTGGCCTTTGTCTGCTAGTAAGAGCGAGAACGCAGCAAAGGTTAGGCCTTTGAATAACTGCCCTACATCCAGCAGCAAGCCTGCCTCTCCCACCCGTGCAGCGTATCAACTCTTTGCAGCAGTGGAGTGCGCTTAGTACAAGTGCCACGCCCCCTAGCTAGTACGAGCCTTGCCGCCAGGTACCCGCACATGCGCAGACTGCTGTTGATTTGCCGTCGTGGACGGGGAAGGTGGGTGTTTGTTTGTTTGTGCGCTTCCCTTGGTTAGTAAGAGCGAGAACGCCAAGGAAGTGCTTTGCGCATTGCGCTGGCCTTTGTCTGCTAGTAAGAGCGAGAACGCAGCAAAGGTTAGGCCTTTGATGCATCCAGTTCGCGTGCGGTGGCTGTGCTGCTTGCTGTGTGGCTATACCAGCCACTGCATGCGTGAGGGCTGTGCTGCTCACTGTGTGGCTTACACCAGCCCTTTGCCTGTTGATGCGAATAACTGCCCTACACCCAGCAGCAAGCCTGCCTCTCCCACCCGTGCAGCGTATCAACTCTTTGCAACAGTGGAGTGCGCTTGGTGCAATTGCCACGCCCCCTAGCTAGCACGAGCCTTGCCACCAGGTGCCCGCACATGCACAGGCTCGAGGTGCACAGGCCCGCCCGGGGCAGGCGTGGCTGTAGGTGCCTGCACATGCACAGGCTCAAGGTGCACAGGCCCCTCCGGGTCAGGCGGGCTTGCAGGTGCCAGCAAAGGCACAGGCTCAAGGTGCACTGACCCTTCCGGGTCAGGCGTGCTTGCAGGTGCCCGCACAGGCTCAAGGTGCACAGGCCCGTCGGGTCAGGCGTGCTTGCAGGTGCCTGCAAATGCACAGGCTCAAGGTGCACAGGCCCTTCCGGGTCAGGCGTGCTTGCAGGTGCCCGCACATGCGCAGGCTCAAGGTGCATAGGCCCTTCCGGGTCAGGCGTGCTTACAGGTGCCAGCAAAGGCACAGGCTCAAGGGGCACAGGCCCTTCCGGGTCAGGCGTGCTCGCAGGTGCCAACACACTCAGGCCCTTCCGGGTCAGGCGTGCTCGCAAGTGTCCGCACAGGCTCAAGGTGCACAGGCTCGAGGTGCCCAGGTCCATGCCCGGGTCCTGTCGGGCACTTTCCCCTAGCGTGCCAGGCGGGTTGGGGTGCAGCCTTAAAACTGTCGTTTTGCACATGCTGCGCAAACCTCATGCGTCTGTGTGAGTCGCAATTCATGCGGCTGTGTGAGACGCAACTCTACACGTTGTCCTGCGTTTTGGGTGTAGGAGGGCTCAGGATCGCGCACTGTTGAGGTCTGCTGGCCGCTCCCCAAATCAAAGGCGATTAACAACCGAACGGTCTGGCCAGTCGGTGCAAGCGTGCTGGGTGTAGAATTTAAACTGTAGTAGCATTCCCTTTCCTCAAAATGCTCCCTTACATCCACTTGCCTATTATGCACCTAGCGCTGCGGGGCTCCGCGAAGGCGTCTTGCTGATCAGCCTGGCGGGCTCGTCTGTGTGCAGCTCTGTGCGTGGTGGCAGCCGGCGGGTGTGCAGGAGTCTGCATTTAGGGTTTGGTTTGCTGCTTAGGTTTCTGGTCTGCCCCTCACCCTTGTGACAGTGCTAGTCGCAGCATAGGGCGGAGGCATCGTCCGCTTTCTGCTGGACAAGTGCCTGGAACAACCGGCAGGAACAAGCCTGTTCATGCTGGAGGGGTGCCTGGCGGGGGCACTCCTTGCCACAAGCGCGTCATCGCTGTAATCGGCCTGTAATCCGGCGCGGCCCTGTTAACAAACGCCATGGCTCACGGACAGCGCCACCCCCTTAGAGTGCCGGATACAACGGACATGCGTTGGTCTATCTTGCGCAGCACGATGGACACACCTTGCTCGTTACCGTTGCGGCTTCTGCGATAAGGGAGTAAGCTTCTCAAACTGATGCCTAGGTCTTCTCCAGAAGGCCCAGAATGATTAGGCGCCTCCGGAAGGCCCAGAAGTGCTTTGGCCTATCAAATTGTTGCCTAAACCCTCCCGGAAGGCTCAGAAGTGATTAGGCCTCTCAAACTGCTGCCTGAAACTTCTCCGAAAGGCCCAGCAGTGGGTCGGCCTCTCCAACTGCTGCCAAAAAATTTTCCTGAAGGCCCAGCAGTGAGTAGACCTCTCAAACTGATGCCTCAAACATCTTCTGAAGGCCCAGAAATGATTAGGCCTCTCAAACTGCTGTCCCAACAGTTGCCTGAAGGCCCAGAAGTGATTAGG